AACACACTGCTATTTATTACACTCATCCTCCTGTGGGATTCAGTATCAAACACACTGCTATTTATTACACTCGTCCTCCTGTGGGATTCAGTATCAAACACTGCTATTTATTACACTCATCCTCCTGTGGGATTCAGTATCAAACACTGCTGTTAATTACACTCATTCTTCTGTGGGATTCAGTATCAAACACTGCTATTTATTACACTCGTCCTCCTGTGAGATTGAGTATCAAACACTGCTATTTATTACACTCATTCTTCTGTGGGATTCAGTATCAAACACACTGCTTTTTATTACACTCGTCCTCCTGTGGGATTCAGTATCAAACACTGCTATTTATTACACTCGTCCTCCTGTGGGATTCAGTATCAAACACACTGCTATTTATTACACTATTCCTGTTGTGGGATTCAGTATCAAACACACTGCTATTTATTACACTCGTCCTCCTGTGGGATTCAGTATCAAACACTGCTATTTATTACACTCGTCCTCCTGTGGGATTCAGTATCAAACACACTGCTATTTATTACACTCATCCTCCTGTGGGATTCAGTATCAAACACACTGCTATTTATTACACTCGTCCTGTGGGATTCAGTATCAAACACACTGCTATTTATTACACTCGTCCTCCTGTGGGATTCAGTATCAAACACACTGCTATTTATTACACTCATCCTCCTGTGGGATTCAGTATCAAACACACTGCTATTTATTACACTCGTCCTCCTGTGGGATTCAGTATCAAACACACTGCTATTTATTACACTCATCCTCCTGTGGGATTCAGTATCAAACACACTGCTATTTATTACACTCGTCCTGTGGGATTCAGTATCAAACTCACTGCTATTTACTACACTAATCCTCCTGTGGGATTCAGTATCAAACACACTACTATTTATTACACTCATCCTTCTGTGGGATTCAGTATCAAACACTGCTATTTATTACACTCGCTATTTATTACCCTGTGGGATTCAGTATCAAACACACTGCTATTTATTACACTATTCCTGTTGTGGGATTCAGTATCAAACACACTGCTATTTATTACACTCGTCCTTCTGTGGGATTCAGTATCAAACATACTGCTGTTTATTACATTTGTCCTCCATTGGGATTCAGTATCAAACACTGCTATTTATTACACTCGTCCTCCTGTGGGATTCAGTATCAAACACTGCTATTTATTACACTCGTCCTCCTGTGGGATTCAGTATCAAACACTGCTATTTATTACACTCATCCTCCTGTGGGATTCACTGCTATTTATTACACTCATTCTTCTGTGGGATTCAGTATCAAACACTGCTATTTATTACACTCGTCCTCCTGTGAGATTGAGTATCAAACACTGCTATTTATTACACTCATTCTTCTGTGGGATTCAGTATCAATCACTGCTATTTATTACACTCATTCTTCTCTGGGATTCAGTATCAAACACTGCTATTTATTACACTCGTCCTGCTGTGGGATTCAGTATCAAACACACTGCTATTTATTACACTCGTCCTCCTGTGGGATTCAGTATCAAACACTGCTATTTATTACACTCGTCCTCCTGTGGGATTCAGTATCAAACACACTGCTATTTATTACACTCATCCTCCTGTGGGATTCAGTATCAAACACTGCTATTTATTACACTCGTCCTCCTGTGGGATTCAGTATCAAACACTGCTATTTATTACACTCATCCTCCTGTGGGATTCAGTATCAAACACTGCTATTTATTACACTCATCCTGTGGGATTCAGTATCAAACACTGCTATTTATTACACTCGTCCTCCTGTGGGATTCAGTATCAAACACTGCTTTTTTTGTATAAAGCGGTTGTTTTCCTTGTTTGTGTCCAGTGTTTTTTTTCGACATAAAGCTGTCTGACAATTTTACCATCTCTTGTAGTCTTACTTAAAACCAGACATGTAGAGTGTAATATGTTTTCAACATATTTCAATTAGTAAACAGTTTGTCTTCTGAATATCAGATTTACACCATAGCAGAAAGTAATATCAAATTCTTGTTAAATTTGTGTGGTCATTGATAGTTTGAAGGTCAAAGGTCACACTCAAAGCCACTTTTGAAGTGAAAAATAGTACATTTACATTGTGTCTGTAGAACCTCTCAGCAGATTTGGTTTTGTCATGGTTTGATGTGTCAAGTTGTATACCTGATATATTGGTGGTCATTGGTTTAATGGGTCCAATTTTATACTAACACTCTCTTCAAATACTTCTGTAGTCACTGATTCTAAACAGGTAGTGGCATGAAGGTATTTGATGATTTGGAGGCCATCCTTACTTAACCCAATCAATATTTGCAGGTATTCTAAAGCATCGCCTATGTCCATAGGGAGGTTTTAGAATATACTCCAACAGTTGAAGATAATGTGTGCATCAAGTTTGAGGTCTAGTTGAATCGTGAAATATCTGTTTCATCAAATATCATTTTCTAAGTCCCTCCTATCCAACATTTTTTTAGTCATTTATAAGGTACACTGTTGTACTGCTGCACACACAAGAATATTAGGAAAACAATATCATGAGTAAAGACCATAGAGGTCAACTTTCTCCCCTAACCCTAACCCATTTTTTTAAAACTTACATAGCTTGCACACTGTATATTGGTGACACTTAGTACTACAATGTTTGTTAAACTTATCGATCTTTAAATAGTTACAGAATCAAACTAGTTGAAACACTTTCAAAGCCAAGAATGATTATATACAGTCGGTGATATTAAGCATTCTGGCCTTGTGTGCTGCTAACGTTTAGTTGGTGGGGGATGGAGGGATGGACATTTGACCAATTATGAAGTTTATAGGGGTCATACTTCTGATTAACTAGTTAAGAAGGACCTTGTTTGGAGTTTGATCACGTGACTGATAACCAATGACCTCTGAAAACAATCAGTCGGTTTTTTTATGAGATACATTTTTCCAGGGACATGAATGCTTAATGAGATGCAGCCTCACCAGGCCTCTTATATTTGATTCCCCCCTCACCTCCTACCCCTTCCTCCAATCACCCTTTACATCATTAGCTCGCATGGCCCAAATGGCAGTGTCCGGCATGAGTCTATCACTTTTTTGTATAAACTAGGACATTAGCTGCTAGTGGTGAAAGACAGCAGATTTTGACAAAATTTTGTCAGAAGCATCCTTAGGGAAGGCGACTCAATTTTGTATAAACCACTCCACTGGACCGAGCCCAATGAAGCAAATTCTTTAATATTCTTATTCTGTAGGGAGTTCCAGTTTGGAATGAAGTATTCTAGGGTGAACGCGAACTAAGTTTGTGTAAATGATGGTCTCGCTGTATTCATACATTGAAATTATTTTTCTCTGCAAAAGTGATGCAACTTTGAAATATGTAATATATGGCAGCTGAAGTTAATTATCATTATTGCACAAGGACTTTGACGTACGCCAAAGCATATACGTGAGCTGATGACTTGAAAATGATAATTTGACAGTGACGCTCCATTGTTATCCTGAATCATTCGGGTACATTGGATTTCTCTTGGGTCGCCATCGTTTACATGACCATCCTCATTGCTTTCTTCTGCAACGTCCTCTCCCTGCAACCTTCCTCATGTATTCCACTCATGTAATGCAGAACGATACAGATGTTTAAAAATACAAGCATTTTCTGCATCAACCTAGAATTCTCCCAAAGGGCGAAATAAAGCAAATTCTTTCGAATCTTTTCGAATCCCGGTCTGAAGCGTCATCGGAAGAAAGAAATCGCCACCCCACTTTTTTCAGACAAAGGAGCGGGGCCACGTGGTAAAATATTTAGGCTAGTTAAAGTAAAACCAGATCAGCTTTACAGGCAGTATGGGCCTCGTGTTGCATGAAAAATTTAAACAGTGTGACGTATGTTTGTTATTTCATAATAAAATATTAGATTCACTACTGATGCCTGTTTAACATGCGGACGCATAAATATTTTCACAAACGTGAGTAAATATTACATTTATGCAAATATGCTCTTAGGTATATTTCCAGGGCCTTTTAAAAGGGCTTAACACTAACAAAATACTTCACTTGGTAAAACCACGTTTATGCCAGTGTATATGATATAAACATATATGTAAGCCTACAGTCGGTAATAACGCCTTGTTCAGATATTGATAATAGCAGCGAACAATACTGCTACTGTCATATTAAATCAAAGGCTCGTTGGAATGCGCCCGTATTTGGATTCAACTCGAGACTTTTTCCAAGAAAAGCTTAATCCTACTTTTATCATATCGAGGCATGCCAAGCCGACATGTATTTCAACACGGGAAGAATGTTGAAACAGAAGCAAAACTTATTAGTTTAAAGAATTTTTTTTCTCGTCGTTTCACCCGAATATAAAGTACGTGAAACTGTATGCAACATCGGACATATCGTAATACGGAAATATCACTTTCATACTCTAAAGCTGGGAGAATAACAGGCCATCGTATTGATCCACCGTCACGTATCAAGTACTGCCATTGAGCTAGGCCTACTTTCGTTTCCTATTGATGTAACGTTGCATATATTTTCTGATATTCTGGCAGGTTGGACGCACTTCCTGGTATAAGAAACGATCCACACCACCATTTGTGAATTGTTAAAAAATACTGTGCACAGACAAAGATATCCAAGCAAGGCGTCACCGACAGGTGCCTCCCGGGAGCTATGGAATTTTTCCGAAACGCCCGAACAAATCATGCATGATTGGATTGAATACTGAGGATTTCCACATCAACAAACAAGCGTGCTATTGTTAGTAAACAAAGTTTAGTTTGACAGGTTACATATCTGCGGCCATTGTGATTTTTTTAGTTTGAGACCCAGGTTTTTGATGTTTTCTCGCATGGCAAATAAATGCATCGACAAAACGAACACCTATGGATTAAAAACAATTGTGATTATACAATTATTGTGCTAACTGTATCCTCCGTTCTATAACATTCACACACACCCGTCTGACGGCGTTATTGCTCGACCATGATGGTTTCAGTGCCTTCTGCAGTGGGCGAGTTTCAATTAGGTTCTCCGAACACCGAACTTTTGGAAATCACCCAGCCTATATTACTGTTTGATGACGAGTTACAAAAGACCATCAGACATGGGCAGGCGAAATTTGATCTTCGCGAAAAAATCCGAAAACGACGTCAGTCAGAAGGACTTGAAGATATCGAGGTGAAATTTGAAAAACCAAAGGAATACGAAGTAAGTTGCTAGTATTTTGTAAATTCGAGATTATCTCGCATGGTAACCCTATATAAACAGGGATTACAAGAACCCCATTAAAATAGGATTAATACAAAACTTTATAATCACGAAGTAAGATACTCCACACTTAACTTTGTTAATACGAAGTAAGAAACTCCACACTTAACTTCGTTAATACGAAGTAAGATTCTCCACGCTGATTGTCGTTAGCAAGAAAAATTACTCCACACCAAACTCTGTTAAGAGGTCAGATACTCGACATAAAGCCTCGTTATTGAGAAATAATTTACTCCATACTAAACTTATTTATCAAGTTAATCCGTACTGAATTTAGTTTGTAAGTCACTCCACACTGAACTTCGTTAATGGGAAGTCAGATACAGCACACTGACTTCGTTGACAAGAGATCGCAGAGGGATATTTGTGCCCACCACTGTTTTATCTTTGTATGCTCTTTGAAAGTGGGAGCCTTTTCACTTCTTTTCTCTTATCTGCCAAATCCAAAATGGCCGCCTGGAAGCCATTTTGTTTCTTCTGGTCAGTCCCAAAATCAAACGTGCACACGGACAGACCAGCGGGAACATACGTATGAAATTTGAGAGACATCAATTCAGTACTTCTTAAGAAATAGCGATAACAAACTTTCAAAGTCAAAATCCAAGATAGCCGCCTGGTAGCCATTTTGGTTTTTTTTATCAGACCCAAAATTAAATGGGCACAACTAGGGGTCAAGGGGAACCTACACGTGACATTTAAGAGGGATGCAGCTCATATTTTTCAAGAAATAGCTATAACTAACTTCATTGAAAAATCCAAGATGGCTGCCTGTCGGCTTTTTGGTGGGGTTTTTTATCAGTCCCAAAATCAAACAAGCACAACGAGGAACCAAGGGGAACCAACATATGCAATTTGAGAAAGATCTATCTAGTACTTCTCAAGAAATAGCAATAACAAGCCACGGATTCAGAGCGATTTGAACCAAAACAAAAAGAAAACTCGCTTTAAGCTAAGAACCCTTACTAAACAGCGTATGTAAAGAAAAAATTCACACGGAAGTTTGTTAGTACAATGTTTATGTTACTCTATAATACACTTCGTAAATAGAAAGCCGTTCAGCTACATGAGGCTAATTAAGGTTTAAACTCGACTTAAACATCATAAACGCATGTACGATGGTTTGAAACTTTACATTCGTGAATGAGAAGTAGATCAAGTACATATGTGTAATGTAAAGTGTGCGCGGATTGTTGACATACACTCTTTGTGTTCCAGATGAGACCAGAGGAAATTGAGAAACGCGAGTCAAGAAAGGCCCGGAACCGGAAGTCGGCACACGAGAGTCGCGTGAAAAGGAAACAACAAGAGCAGGAACTGGAAGAAGTGAGGACAACATTAATTCTTTTAACTGGTTCTTGTAAACTTAGGCACGTTTTACAAGGTTATGGTAATTCATATCACATCTTATAATGCCATACCAACTCATCATGAGGTAAATTTGTGCAATATTAAATCGATTTCGTCAGACCTAACTCACTCAAATCATTAACTTCTACAACTGTTCGGTAATAAATGATATTTATTGCTACAACTGTTAATTGGTAATGTTTATTACTACAACTGTTCCGTAATTAGTGAAGCTTATTTCTACATCTGTTCGGTAATTAGTGATACTTATTACTATATCTGTTCTGTAATTAGTGATACTTATTACTATATCTGTTCTGTAATTAGTGATGCTTGTTTCTATATCTGTTCCGTAATTAGTGATGCTTGTTTCTACATCTGTTCCGTAATTAGTGATGCTTATTTCTACAACTGTTCGGTAATTGGTGATGTTTATTTATGCATCTGTTCTGTAATTAGTGATACTTATTTCTATATCTGTTCGGTAATTAGTGATGCTTATTTCTTCAACTGTTCGGTAATTGGTGATGCTTATTTCTATATCTGTTCGGTAATTGGTGATGCTTATTTCTATATCTGTTCGGTAATTGGTGATACTTATTGCTACATCTGTTCGGTAATTAGTGATACTTATTGCTACATCTGTTCGGTAATTAGTGATACTTATTACTATATCTGTTCTGTAATTAGTGATGCTTGTTTCTATATCTGTTATGTAATTAGTGATACTTATTGCTATATCTGTTCGGTAATTAGTGATACTTATTGCTACATCTGTTCGGTAATTAGTGATACTTATTGCTATATCTGTTCTGTAATTAGTGATGCTTATTTCTACATCTGTTCGGTAATTAGTGATGCTTGTTTCTATATCTGTTCTGTAATTAGTGATACTTATTTCTATATTTGTTCGGTAATTAGTGATACTTATTTCTATATCTGTTCGGTAATTAGTGATACTTATTTCTATATCTGTTCGGTAATTAGTGGTGCTTATTTCTATATCTGTTCGGTAATTAGTGATACTTATTTCTATATCTGTTCGGTAATTAGTGGTGCTTATTTCTATATCTGTTCGGTAATTAGTGATACTTATTTCTACATCTGTTCGGTAATTAGTGATACTTATTTCTACATCTGTTCGGTAATTAGTGATACTTATTTCTATATCTGTTCGGTAATTAGTGGTGCTTATTTCTATATCTGTTCGGTAATTAGTGATGCTTATTTCTATATCTGTTCGGTAATTAGTGATACTTATTTCTATATCTGTTCGGTAATTAGTGGTGCTTATTTCTATATCTGTTTGGTAATTAGTGGTGCTTATTTCTATATCTGTTCGGTAATTAGTGATACTTATTTCTACATCTGTTCTGTAATTAGTGATGCTTATTTCTACAACTGTTCGGTAATTAGTGGTGCTTATTTCTACATCTGTTCGGTAATTAGTGATACTTATTTCTACATCTGTTCGGTAATTAGTGGTGCTTATTTCTATATCTGTTCGGTAATTAGTGATACTTATTTCTATATCTGTTCGGTAATTAGTGGTGCTTATTTCTATATCTGTTCGGTAATTAGTGATACTTATTTCTACATCTGTTCGGTAATTAGTGATACTTATTTCTATATCTGTTCGGTAATTAGTGATACTTATTTCTATATCTGTTCGGTAATTAGTGATACTTATTTCTATATCTGTTCGGTAATTAGTGGTGCTTATTTCTATATCTGTTCGGTAATTAGTGATACTTATTTCTACATCTGTTCGGTAATTAGTGATACTTATTTCTATATCTGTTCGGTAATTAGTGGTGCTTATTTCTATATCTGTTCGGTAATTAGTGATACTTATTTCTATATCTGTTCGGTAATTAGTGATACTTATTTCTATATTTGTTCGGTAATTAGTGGTGCTTATTTCTATATCTGTTCGGTAATTAGTGATACTTATTTCTATATCTGTTCGGTAATTAGTGGTGCTTATTTCTATATCTGTTCGGTAATTAGTGATACTTATTTCTACATCTGTTCGGTAATTAGTGATACTTATTTCTATATCTGTTCGGTAATTAGTGGTGCTTATTTCTATATCTGTTCGGTAATTAGTGATGCTTATTTCTATATCTGTTCGGTAATTAGTGATACTTATTTCTATATCTGTTCGGTAATTAGTGGTGCTTATTTCTATATCTGTTTGGTAATTAGTGGTGCTTATTTCTATATCTGTTCGGTAATTAGTGATACTTATTTCTATATCTGTTCGGTAATTAGTGATGCTTATTTCTATATCTGTTCGGTAATTAGTGATACTTATTTCTATATCTGTTCGGTAATTAGTGGTGCTTATTTCTATATCTGTTTGGTAATTAGTGGTGCTTATTTCTATATCTGTTCGGTAATTAGTGATACTTATTTCTACATCTGTTCTGTAATTAGTGATGCTTATTTCTACAACTGTTCGGTAATTAGTGATACTTATTTCTGCATCTGTTCTGTAATTAGTGATACTTATTTCTATATCTGTTCTGTAATTAGTGATACTTATTTCTATATCTGTTCGGTAATTAGTGATACTTGTTTCTACAGTCGTTTGTTAATTAGTGATGTTTATTTTAGACGATTACATCACTAGAGAAAGAAAATCAGAAATGGAAGAACTACGTCACCAATCTCCAGAATTTTGAGCAGAAGCTACGCCTAAGGTTTGCTGATCATCTCATCCGATGTAAATCGGCGGAAGTGAAACGCCTTCAACAAGACGCCAAACGCCAAACGTCAGACACCGTGTCTGTTAGTGGGAATATTAATTAAATATGAAATTGTCACCGTTGGTGGTCGTTCTAAATTACGTCATCTTTCGACATTTATTGCCTCCCTCAAAGCTTCGTTTTTGTTTTTGTGCATCTACAGCTTTGATTGAATCAACACGACACCCTTAGAATCACAAGAAACACAGTTCTAACGTCGATTTGTCATTTCACGCAGTCTCTGAGGTGGATGGGGGTGCTCTCACGACATCCAGTAAAACAAACAGCTGTCTCTTTTTCTCATACAGGGCATGTTTGCAATTGTGTATCGCTAACACCATACCTCGATACTGTCAATCTTCATTCTGCTTGTAAAATCCTAGCTGGAGGCTGTGTGACACGTAGTCAATAATAAAACTAAATGAAGCTGGTGCACGGGTGAAGTATTTTAGCGAATACTGACAGTAAATCCAGTTTAAATTAGTGATGTTTTGGATTCCGATATATTGGATCTACGGCAGTGGAGTAGTGTTAGTTTGGTGTTTTAGTGTTTTTAGTGACAATTTCTGTACTTTTATTCCACAGACCGCCGTATCCGAATCCTGGTGGTGTTTCTGTTGTTTGCTTGTTTACGTGTTTACGTTTCTTGTTTGACTTAACGAATTAATGCTGCCAACCTATCGGCGTTTTTTCTGCACTGGCATCTCTATAAGGATCAATTTATTTCTTTGGTACAAAAGATAAAAAGACACGCTTTTCCACGAATGCATCTATTTTCGATCATCGGGAAAAACCCATATACTTCTAAATGTAGAAACTTGATAAATATAGATTAATTCTGTGTAGAAAAACAATTTTCTTTGAACAAGTATAATATACACCTTCATTCACTTTTCTTATTTTCATTTTGATATTCCATAAGAATTACTTTAATTTTGATATTCCATAAGAATTCATAATAAAACAATATGAATATATACATGTAAGTAGATGAAGGACAGTATTCATTCAAAAACAAGACGTCATCCTCCAGCTCAGAGTATCAACAGCTCAGTCAACCTCTACGTATATATTAAAAAGAGTATATAGATTTCCCCTGGAGTGCGTTCGTCCTTTATTGGTGAACAATTGTTATATGAACGCCACCTCGAAAATACGAAACGGAGGAGGGATTGGATACCAATAATTTCAGCAATACAAAATACAAAATATTTCGTTTCGTTTGTTTGGAAAAAACCCCAGAGAAGATGGGCTTTAGCATATGTAACCTTTTTTGTCTTATCGTCGATGTGCTTTAAACTCAGAATACGCGATTTCAATCATAGTATGAAATTGATATTTGTTTGAATTTCTCGTTTTCTTATTTTTTATTTTATTTTCATTCTAGAGAATGATAACAGAAATGATATTGTAATATCGCTGACGTTTTAAACGTTTAATGCCGCACAGAAATACATTACATGAATACCGGTTAAGATAACATTATCTCAAATTAAAAAGCGTAATATCTGTGACATTATTTCATTAAACAAATAATGAACTTGAATCACAAAAAGGGAAAAAAGGCAAGCGTGTGCAAATTTTTAAAGTAATACAGAGTTATCTGTTCTTGCTATCAAGTGTTGATTGTCACACAAGAGCAGATAACTCTGCATTACAAAAAGACATAATTATTTATAACTTTTATGACGTAAATTTCACCTTGGCATACACTACTACCATAACTGTCTAAAAAAGCAATCCCAGCTGTTATGTTTTAGTTGATATGTTTTATTGAAATAATTTAAGTGCATCATATAACAATAGTTTTTATCGAGGGTCGGGAATAGGGGCGTCAGTTTATCACCTGAGGTTCTTATAGGTCAAGGCATAATACTGGCGAAGGATATGTATTGTAAATATGCTTAACATTTGTTTTGTATGTACAATTAAATTTGCGCGTTTGAGATGTCGGCGACAAATAGCATGCGTATCTAGTATATATTTCCATTTTATTTTATTTGCTGTTTACGTCATCAATAAATGTGTTCTAAAAACGTTCATTTTTGTTCAATTCCTATTTTTCCCGGATTCATTGTAAACACAATGAGATTGAATTCTGTATTATGAATAAAAATTGAGTAAAATTCTAATTCCGATACAAATTAATGAAAAAAGAATTTATATTTTATTGACACTAAATTTGTGTGTGCGTGTGTGTGTGCGTGTGCGTCTGTGTGTGTGTGTGTGTGTGTGTGTGTGTGTGCGTGTGTGTTTACGGGGGTGGGGGTAGAATTGTTCATTTCCAGTATTTCCAACGTGTTCCCAGAACAAAAACTTAAGATACAACCATATGAACCAAGTCCTCCGTATCTTTCTTTTATTCTATCGAAACCATTAACTACCACGTATATCGTTCAGTTGTGTAATCACGGTTGTGAACAGGTTTCACCCTATCCCCTTCAGAGAAATTCAATGACAACTTTTTGTACAAACAGACCTAATTTCAGTAAATCGAATAATTCATCACGCGAGCTTCAAACGTGGTCTAAATTACCAGTAAGATCACTATCTCCATGTTGTAGACAAAGTACCTCTTCCATGTTGTAGACCAAGTACCGCGCATGAGAGTTTTTTAATTGATCGCTTGAAGACGTCCATACTGTGTATATTATATAGCGTATACTGCTATTCATAGATTAATGAAACTCATTACGAATGTTCGAACTCCAAGTAGAAACGAAACATGATACCCTGCTTATAAAGAAAACTTCGATATATTTTCAAACACTTGTGTAAACGACCTTTTATTCGACCAATGGAAAATCGACATTAGCGAGCATGTCTTCCTCCGATGACGTCATTATGAAATTCATATGTCAAATATACCATTTTGTTACATATTGCAGAAAGCGTCACACATGAAGATCCCGCGACACAAGCGGCAATCATGTGATAGAGGGTGTTATCATACTGATAACAATACAGCACTGTGATAAAGATCCTTACATCACGACGATAAAGATCCTAACGTCACGTGATGTAGACCCGAACGTAACGACATGAGAGACTCAAACGTCATGACACGATAAAAATCCTTACATCACAACATGATAAAGATCCTTACATCACAACATGATAAAGATCCTTACATCACGACATGATAAAGATCCTTACATCACAACAAGATAAAGATCCTTACATCACAACATGATAAAGATCCTAACGCCACGACATGATAAAGATCCTTACATCACGACGATAAAGATCCTAACGTCACGACATGATAAAGATCCTTACATCACAACATGATAAAGATCCTTACATCACGACGATAAAGATCCTAACGCCACGACATGATTAAGATGCTTACATCACATGATAAAAATCCTTACATCACAACATGATAAAGATCCTTACATCACAACATGATAAAGATCCTAACGCCACGACATGATAAAGATCCTTACATCACGACATGATAAAGATCCTTACATCACAACATGATAAAGATCCTTACATCACGACATGATAAAGATCCTTACATCACTACATGATAAAGATCCTTACATCACGACATGATAAAGATCCTTACATCACGACATGATAAAGATCCTTACATCACGACATGATAAAGATCCTTACATCACGACGATAAAGATCCTAACGTCACGACATGATAAAGATCCTTACATCACAACATGATAAAGATTCTTACATCACGACATGATAAAGATCCTTACATCACAACATGATAAAGATCCTTACATCACGACATGATAAAGATCCTTACATCACGACATGATAAAGATCCTTACATCACAACATGATAAAGATCCTTACATCACGACATGATAAAGATCCTTACATCACGACATGATAAAGATCCTAACGCCACAACATGATAAAGATCCTAACATCACGACATGATAAAGATCCTTACATCACGACATGATAAAGATCCTAACGTCACGACATGATAAAAATCCTAACACCACAACATGATAAAGATCCTTACATCACAACATGATAAAGATCCTTACATCACGACATGATAAAGATCCTTACATCACGACATGATAAAGATCCTTACATCACGACATGATAAAGATCCTTACATCACGACATGATAGAGATCCTAACGCCACGACATGATAAAGATCCTAACGCCACGACATGATAAAGATCCTAACGCCACGACATGATAAAGATCCTAACGTCACGACATGATAAAGATCCTTACATCACGACATGATAAAGATCCTTACATCACGACATGATAGAGATCCTTACATCACGACATGATAAAGATCCTAACGTCACGACATGATAAAGATCCTTACATCACGACATGATAAAGATCCTTACATCACGACATGATAAAGATCCTTACATCACGACATGATAAAGATCCTAACGTCACGACGATAAAGATCCGTCACGACATGATAAAGATCCTTACATCACGACATGATAAAGATCCTTACATCACGACATGATAAAGATCCTTACATCACGACATGATAAAGATCCTTACATCACGACATGATAGAGATCCTTACATCACGACATGATAAAGATCCTAACGTCACGACATGATAAAGATCCTTACATCACGACATGATAAAGATCCTTACATCACGACATGATAAAGATCCTAACGTCACGACATGATAAAGATCCTTACATCACAACATGATAAAGATCCTTACATCACGACATGATAGAGATCCTTACATCACGACATGATAAAGATCCTAACGTCACGACATGATAAAGATCCTTACATCACGACATGATAGAGATCCTTACATCACGACATGATAAAGATCCTAACGTCACGACATGATAAAGATCCTTACATCACAACATGATAGAGATCCTTACATCACGACATGATAAAGATCCTTACATCACGACATGATAAAGATCCTTACATCACGACATGATAAAGATCCTAACGCCACAACATGATAAAGATCCTTACATCACGACATGATAGAGATCCTTACATCACGACATGATAAAGATCCTTACATCACGACATGATAAAGATCCTAACGTCACGACATGATAAAGATCCTTACATCACGACAAGATAAAGATCCTAACGTCACGACATGATAAAGAAATCACAAATTAAGAATCATGTCGTCTCTAGTGAAAATTAGTTCAACAGTTTGTTTACTTATTTCATTTGAAAATCATTTGAGGTGGAGGTACTTTGAAGAAGCTGGTGGCTGCCTCTCCGTACAAAATACGGGAGGTGCGTCGCGTGCCATTCAGATCAATTATAGCAAAGTGTCCTGTAGAAGGACACAATTACGGCAGCAAAGACTAGTTCGCTTCACTAGAAATACAAATCGCCGTGGGAAGGGAGCGTGGTACACGCACCTCGACCCGAGGTTACTACTGACAGCATACGGTATATTGTGATGAAATATGAGACGGTTAAGTGCCGTGAAGACAGGCCGGGTTTAAAAAGATCGGAAACACGTGTAATTCTAAACAACGGTTTTATGAAAGGAGAGGTACTCAAGGGACATTAACGATCACCAGAGTTATAATGCTGTCTTTCTTCTTGTAACATATTACAGAAATTATCTCGTTAATAAAGCAAGATTACATGAATTACGTTATACGTGTAATGCAAATGTAAATTGTACATAACGGTAACTGCCATCCAGTTTAAACTATTTTGAACCGTTTTGGGGTGACCGTCTGTACCACTGACATCAATTATTATTTTGAAGAATAAAAGGACAATTTATACATACCAAAGTTTTCATTGAAGGGAAGATTAGATATAATATGTGGCTATGCACAAATCTCAAAATGTCTAACTTATGGTGCTTGGGTTAGAGGAAACTCGGGCTTGTAGTTTGTTGAAGGTAATTGAATATAGAAAATAATCTTTGTGGTATTTCACATCTGGAACACAGGGGGCTAATTGTATATAGAATATACTGTAAGTAAATCCTTAGGATACAATAATTGTCAATTAAGTTATCCGCTTGTGTCCTACTACGAGTAGTGTGGTGTTATAGAGATCTAGTCTGGCAGCTAGCCAGATAAAATATTATACCACGTACGTGTGTGCTACCTTTAGTCGCCATACGACAGATGTATAAATAGTGGTCTAAAAATAGAAATAGGAAAACACCTGTTATAAATAGCCTTGGCGGGCTTCCCCTTGTCAGAATATAACAGTCCGACTACTTCAGAAAAGTCATACGCAGGCTGAAATTGTAGTGAAAATTTACACGCTGTGATTAAAAATAGGTGTCAGTCACATATTGGGAATAACCTCGGATATCCGCTACACGTCACGTCCATTCTTTGCTCGGTGTCGGCTCGCCACGAGGGTGCGGTTCATAGCAGACGTGTGCCTCCAGAGAACCAGTAGGACGAGCCAGCTCACAAGAACTTGTCAAAAGTACAAGGTAAATATTGATATAAAATTACTACTTTTGTGTGTGCTTTTTTCAGTCTTCTGTGTGTTGATGTTTATAAAGAACACGAAACATTTTATCAGACGTCTGTGTATGTATAGCGACTTTTCCCAGTAGATCAATGACTTTTAGCAGAGACGTGTGTGTTATATACGTCTCTGCTTTTAGACACATACCCAAAATGTCTTTTTATCGATATCAGTTTTGGTTTTTTTTAGGCTGAAAAACATATTGGAAAGAATTTTATTTCCTTGGTAAATTTGGTAGGCGTTATTGAAATATTGTACATTTGAATTTTAAGCATGCCCAGGTCAGCTCTCTGGGTGTCAATTACACTAATGAAGTAGCGTCGGGAAATCTCGACATACTTTGGAATGAGTGGCTTGCAAGCTCTGATGATGGATGTGATGTGTTCATAACAGTCTTTGCTCTTTTGAATTTCAGCTTTTTCCCAAAGATGGCCACCGTCAGTGATAATCCTGTCCGTTTACCGTCAGATGTTGAAAAGTTTGGAGAGGAGACGCCGTTGTTTGCGAAAGCATATTCGGAGTTCTTCCAGACAGGTTCTTGTCTGCCTTTATTAAAACAAGAACTGCGTCTTAAAATTCAGAACAGGCGCATGTCGGAGGGTCAACCGGAACTACAGGTGCAATTTGACGAGGAAAAGAAATATCCAGTAAGTTTGTAACGTCAGTAAATATCACTAATTTCAATTTCTAGATTTGTCAAAAAGTTTACTTTTTATAAACAAATATATTTAATGATATTGAGATCCAGTTTTATACTATTTTTAACACGGTGAAAACTCGCTGATAGGCCACCTTTAAATTAGGCAAAACATTTTTACCCAACTAACCAAACCACTGATCAGTTACAAAGTTACCTGACAAGTGTCAGATCAGTTAGCTTTATATTAAGGTTTCAAACTGGCTCCCAGACAAACTAACATGTGTGATTGTTATAATCTTGTATGCTAATTAACTACTAGGTCCTTTCTCGCTACTCAGATCAGCCACGTGTACACAGTTCGCATGCTAGTATAAATAGTAATGTTTTACTGCAATGAATCGGAACACTAATTATATGTATCGTATTGAAAAAAAAGAAACTTTATACTCAATAGACAACCATATTGGATTGATTGACGTAAAATCGGTGACAAATAAACTTTCAAACACGTTGCTTTTTTCAGGACAGAATTTAGATTTTATCGCAGGATTGTTTCAAATGTAGCAAAATTGTCAACCTGTAATACAGGACAGTTGTTAACCTGTGTATAGGATAGTTGTCAAGCTGTAATACAGGACAGTTGTTAACCTGTAATACAGGACAGTTGTCAACCTGTAATACAGGACAGTTGTTAACCTGTGATGTAGGACAGTTGTTAACCGGTGATGTAGGACAGTTGTTAACCGGTGATGTAGGACAGTTGTCAACCTGTGATGTAGGACAGTTGTCAACCTGTGATGTAGGACAGTTGTTAACCTGTGATGTAGGACAGTTGTTAACCTGTGATATAGGACAGTTAACCTGTAATACAGGACAGTTGTTAACCTGTGATGTAGGACAGTTGTTAACCGGTGATGTTAACCGGTGATGTAGGACAGTTGTCAACCTGTGTATAGGATAGTTGTCAACCTGTGATGTAGGACAGTTGTTAACCTGTAATACAGGACAGTTGTTAACCTGTAATACAGGACAGTTGTTAACCTGTGATGTAGGACAGTTGTTAACCTGTTAACCTGTGTAATACCTGTGATGTACAGTTGTTAACCTGGTGATGTAGGATAGTTGTGTTAACCTGTCAACCTGTGATGTAGGACAGTTGTTAACCTGTGATGTAGGATAGTTGTTAACCTTTGATGTAGGACAGTTGTCAACCTGTGATGTAGGACAGTTGTTAACCTGTGATATAGGACAGTTGTTAATCTATAATACAGGTTTGATTAGTATCGATCTAACCGTTAAAATGTCGAACTTTTTTAAAATGTAGTTCCAGCGTAACAATGTTTAATGATTTACCTTTTTTCAGTTGACCAAGATGGAACTGGAGAAAGTTGAACTCCGGAAACGTCACAACCGACACTCGGCCAAGAGATGTAGAGAGAAAAAGAAAGAAAACCAAACGAATTGCGTAAAGGTACGTGTGCGACGACTTACTCTCGGCCAGTAAAATAGTTCTCATTTAAAATTATAACCTTGAGGGTTTTAATGATATAGCAACATTGATAATGATTTTGTATTTTTCATGGCTTATCGTGAACATTGTACTCGTTTGTACTTATTTGTTAAATGTTCCTTTCAGGAGTTAGGCATGCTGAAGGAGAGGAACAAGCAGCTTTGGGCCCAATTTCACAAACTTACACAATGGAAAAGTTTGTTAGCAAAAAAAATATTGAAGCAGGAGTGGGCGAGTCGATCAGACTTTGGAGAAGAAGATTTGTTCAGTCTCCTGCCAGACTTGATGAAGGTACATCAGGCAGAAAAAGCTTTGTTCGTAAAGAATAACGTCATACAACCAAACATCGCAGAGTTACAGGAAAATGAAAGGATGGAATGGAACTCAGAGTTACAGCAGGAAAATGATCACAGTGCAAGGTTACAGCATAACAACGTTGTAAACTGGCTAGAACAGTGCGCAAAAATACATGACATGGAATTACAGACAGAATCTTTCGACGCACGGAAGGACGTAGAGTTACAGACAGAATATTGCGACGTACGGAAGGACGTGGAATTACAGACAGAACATTGCGACGTTCAGAAGGATGCGGAGTTACAGACAGAATGTTATGAAATACTGGCGGAAGTCCAGGCGAACACCTTCATGCTGCCAAGCGGTAATACTGCAAACCACGTATTACAGCAAATTCCTGAAGCACAGTCGAACTTTACGTTACAACCGAATGATGACATAAAGGCAAATAAGGCGTTACAGGATTTACAGCAGGACCAATTCATACAGGAAGTAGAATTACATCAAGGCGATAAGATACAGGATGTGGTGTTATATATAGACTGTAAGCTTCAGGAGGACACAGAAGTGTTAGATTTTCCCTACCAACAGACCAACGCTGTGTTACAAGGGCTTGACTTTTTGTTAAGTGATGGCACAAAAGTTTAGTTACATAAATTGCGACCTACGGTGTCCGTTAATTAAGACACTTAACACTTAGTCACCTGTTTACTCAGAATGCTTCACCAATAGCTTGCTCGATGAAATTAAATTTGACTTTTGTTACCCGATAAAATGTGCCAAAATCAGAAGGACACATAAAAAACGGTGAAATTTCATAAAATAAGATCATTCCAACCTACTGCCGGAATGCATTCCACAAACTTCAGTGTTTTCGTTTAATTGTACCTGTATTTAATTAAGGGGGGGGGGGGGGTGCATGCAAATTTCAGAAATCTTAGGGAGAGGAAACGATGTAAAATCTTGCCGATTGTCTCTGATTAAACATATTAAAATAAGTTATAACTGTGTTTATTTTTTGTTTACGACAACTTGTCAAGCTACATAACCTGCAGTCAGTCAATGAATGTTACGTGTGTTGCGCAGGATGTGGACTTGCCAATACTTAAGATATTAATTATAAAATGGCTGATGTATATTAAAGTAATATCATGACATTATTTCCTGACTCATATCACAAAGTTATATCAAAATGTTAGAAATGAAAAAATGAAATCTTATCACATTCATATTCTAATAGTGAGACGGGAAGATATGTCACAAACTTTGTTTAGAAATTAAAATGTGCATACAAAATTTTTATCACATTCACGTGTGTCGAGTACTAGTGCCACATAACAGACATTGTATTAGGCTGAGTAGGATCCATAAATATCAGTTCTATATTTAGAACGGGAATACCAGTCTATTTTGAGATGTGCGCGTTGAAAACGGAAAACCCCTTATACATAAATAGAATAAATGCATTATTTCGAATGAATGATAAACAGGTAGCTTGTCAACGGTAATTTAATCGGTTGATAACATCCCTAGCTGTGGAAAATAACTTAAACTGCGGCATAATCTGTGGCTCTATTTAAACCACATTAAACGTTGTTTAGATTAAATATGACAAAGCTAAAATTAGAACAAGGTGTTTTCCTCTTCTTTAAATACAACCAACGCAATCCATGGAGGAAGAAGCATATATCGGGTAAGTTTAAGAAAGAAATTCCATGAAATGTCTTCATTTTGTACTTGCACGAACGTAGAACGTGTTGCAGTATATTTGCATTTGTGTTGTCGCACTAATACAGGCCCGGGAATGAGTTCTTTCCAGCACACGTCAAATTAAGGCCCATATTAATTGTCAGTATCCTAAAAACAATGGAATGCGATGTTCACAAACTGCATCCCACGGCTATGACGTCATCTTCAAAGGGGCGAATCATTACAAGAGGCCCGACAGGCCTGTAACGATAACCAGTTCCATATTTTCTATAGAAAGACTTTGTTGAGAGATATTTTAGGCTGTGTTAATCTATACATCCCATTCTTACCAACATGTTACAAGTGAAATTACATTAACCTGGATCTCTTGGACATTCAGAAGTTTTAAGCTACTTAAAAATTATATTTTTGAAATTTCGAAAGATAATGACATGAATGAACTTGCCAGTCCTTTGTCCTATTATGTTACCTCTTGTCTTTATCACGTTCCAATCCCTGCTACTTAACCATTATTAAAACTGAAATTCCAATATCTAACAGGCACAATATCCCGACTCTAGGTCTCATTGTTATTAAGAAGTATTTTTTAAGGAAAATGCTGACAACGGGCGGATGTCATCTCGCAGTATCAGGTTACTTGCCCTGCTGGCAGGAGAGCTAAACAAGAGGTCCATCGGGCATGTATTAATTAACCAGTTTTGTTTGGCTGATATCGCTTCATCCACAGTAGAGGAAAAGGAATTCTTAAATTCCAAGCACACACTATATTTCCCGATTGGGTATCATCCCTCTGTCTTTAGTGGGTCAGTCAAACAATTCATACTTCAAACAAAACATTGGACAGAATGCTGCCATTCCTACAGAAAATTTGTAAAGAATTTGCTCAATATCACTTAGAATAAGTCGTGCTCTCCCATTCGAAAGGCCTAGACCCACTGTTTAAACAAAGCTGACTTCAGTTTGCTCAGGATGCTTCAGACCAAATTAAGACAAAATTCAATTATTCAAACAGAGGAGTAGGGTTTTTAGCACGCCATCATGAGATGGATGGGTTATTAAAATCGTCCTATGTTCGTGGTCCGTTCGTAAACAATGCTTGTTAACACTATTTCTTGAAAAGTTCTTAATGGATCTTTCTTAAATTTCAGATAAGGTTTCTCTTGGTCCCTAGTAGTGCCCATTTGACTTTGAACCGATCAGAAAAACAAAATGGCCGACAGACAGCCATCTTGGAATTAGACTTTGAAAGTTTGTTATCGCTATTTCTTGAGAAGTACTGAATGGATCTTTCTCAGATTTTCTCAGAAAAACTATGGCCGACAGGCAGCTATTTTAGAGTTAGCCTTAATGATTGTCATCCCTATAATTTAAGAAGTACTGAATGGATCTCTCTAAATATTCATACGCATGATGCCTTTGATCTCTTCTTGTGCCTGTCTGAGTTTTGGATTAATCAGAAAAACAAAATGGCCGACAGGCAGCCATCTTGGATTTTGCATAGCAAAGATTGTTATCGCTATTTCTTTTGAAGTACTGGATAGATATATCTCAAAATTCATACTTATGTTCCCTTTGGTCTCTCCTTGTGCTCGTTTGATTCTGGGACTGATAAGAAGAAACAAAGTGGCTTCCAGGTGACCATTTTGGATTTGGCACATAAAGATAATCTTTTCTGCAAAGGAATGTTCAAATTTCTTATCATTAAGAGCAAAAACAGAGAAGAGCAATGTAGGGAAAAGATCAGACTTTCATAGAGCAAATAAAGATCAAACCATGATGGGCGCCAAAAACATCCCTGGGATCTCTTGTTTAGAATTTGCTTATTTCCTGTATTGGGCAACACCCATCCCATGGGACTGAGAACCGCCATTTATACAAAATTGAGTCCCCTTCACCCAACAATGCTTCATATCAAATTTATGCCAAGATCCAAACATTCCTACTGGAGGAGTAGGATTTTTAAAGAATTTGCTTTATTACTCCTGTTGAGCCTCAATTATCAGGCCCAAGGTGCCCTCAGACTCACTGTTTAATTCAAAATTGATTTCATTAATTAGTTAGAATGAGTTTGTCTGTCAGTTGACGAATTCTTACACAACACAATCTTGATAATGGGAGCAGGCCCTTGAATATCAAATCAAATGCGAAATGTAAATACCTTAGGACGGGGATGTAGGGGTGTTGCTATCCAGAAATGGAAAATTCACAATAGGGAAATTGCAATAGTCATGCTTTTCATACAGCTTGATGGAAAGCTGTCCAGTCATTCCTACAGGAGGTGTAGGATTTCAAATAATTTGCTCTGTTCCTCCATTTGAGTCCCGTTCCTCTGTCCCTAAGCGTCTGAGACTAACCAATTTATACAAAATTTATCCCCCTTCACCAAAGAATGCTTCAAACTAAATTTGGGCAAAATCCAATCATTCTTGCCCAAGATTAGGTTTTTTTTTATGTCACCTGCAACAAAGACTCATGGTGACCTACCGCAACCACCTTAATCCAGCATTTTCGACTTCTTCTCAAAAACACCTGAACCGATTTTAGAGAAACCTTCCCTGGCCTAAGATGAAACAAAATAGTAAATTATATAGTCCCCATTCCACTGGGACCAGAGGGGCAGGGCCAACATTGTCAAATTTACTCGAATTTCAAAAATCTTCTCAATACCCAGATATGGTAGGATCAAACACTCTTCATGGATAGAAGCATCTTAAGGTGGTTTACCAAAATTGTGAATTTCATGGCCCCAATTCCCTCTGTGTGTGTAGGGGAGGGGGGTAAAGTTTATATAAGGAAAATAGATTTTTGAGCATAATTTCCCTTGGTAATATTTCAAATTTGGTTGAAATTATAAATGAAGGATGATAGCTAGATGATATGAATAGATTGATATGAATAAATTGATCCTGACTGACCCCCAGGGGCTGATGGGCTGGGCCAAAAGGGGTGAAATTGACTTAAATTTCAAAAATCTTCATCTCAACACCCAGGTTTGTTGGAATCAAACTCTCCTAGGATGGAAGTATCTTAAGGTGCTTTAATTACCAAAATGGCTCTCACATTTCTTCCTATAATTTGTATAGAAAAAATTTTTGAGCATAAACATTGTTTATTTCTCACTGGAAGTAACTTTGTAAGATTTATTAGTATAGGATGACAGTGTTGATGTATGCATGTTTTGACACTGGCTTACTATCATCATTGCCACAATTTCTTTTTCATGACACTTGAAAGCTGCTTTCCCTTTAAGTTTTATGTTCAATATTGCTTTTCTCAGGTGACCGTTAAGGCCACTAAGTCTCTTGTATAGGATTGCAAATGTTCAGCCCCACCCCACTCCTGCCTCAGGGGGCCCCGAAACCCAACATTTATTCGAAATTGGTTTCTCTTTCACTGAGGATGATTTGTAGAAAAAGTTGACAAATGAATGGACAATGGAAGGATGGACTACAGACACTGTAATATGACATAAGCCCACTGGTTCTTTGGACCTGGTGAGCTAAAAATTAAAAAGTGCATGTATTCTTGAACATAATTTCTCAAGAGTTTTGTAATGATGCTGATGAAACTTAAATGGTATTACCTTATGTTAGTTAAGTTCAGTTTTAAAATACCCTTAGTTTTAAAAGTTTTCATTGACAAACAACTTATAAGTTTGATTGACTTCCAGCATCAGCCGAATTTACTGATAAGGACGACAAAGAGGACTCCGGATGCCACCTAGCGCTATATACACAATTCATCCCAACACCATCCCATCTGACAATCAGGGATTTCTGAACAATGTCCAAGAAGAATTTGACCTTACACGAGCCTACATACAGAGTGCAGAAATGGGAACTGTCACTCCACTCCTCAAACAAGAACTACGTTTTAAGATCCAGGCGAGACGTCTATCAGAGGGCAGAGCCGAACTTTCGGTTACAGAAACAAACAAAAATCCTGAAGAAGACAAGGTTGGTAGGACTACTGTCAAACGCTTTGTATTTCTAACCTTTATTTTTTTGTCATTTAAAAGTTTGTAGTTTGAAGGTTATATGTAAATATTATATACAAATTATGTGTATGTAAAGTTGTCTATCTCATAAACTATTTAACTGCAAATACAGAAAAGTTGTCTATCTCATAAACTATTTAACTGCAAACACAGAAAAGTTGTCTATCTCATAAACTATTCAACTGCAAACACAGAAAAGTTGTCTATCTCATAAACTATTTAACTGCAAACACAGAAAAGTTGTCTATCTCATAAACTATTTAACTGCAAACACAGAAAAGTTGTCTATCTCGTAAACTATTTAACTGCAAACACAGAAAAGTTGTCTATCTCATAAACTATTTAACTGCAAACACAGAAAAGTTGTCTATCTCATAAACTATTTAACTGCAAACACAGAAAAGTTGTCTATCTCATAATCTATTTAACTGCAAACACAGAAAAGTTGTCTATCTCATAAACTATTTAACTGCAAACACAGAAAAGTTGTCTATCTCATAAACTATTTAACTGCAAACACAGAAAAGTTGTCTATCTCATAAACTATTTAACTGCAAACACAGAAAAGTTGTCTATCTCATAAACTATTTAACTGCAAACACAGAAAAGTTGTCTATCTCATAATCTATTCAACTGCAAACACAGAAAAGTTGTCTATCTCATAATCTATTTAACTGCAAACACAGAAAAGTTGTCTATCTCATAAACTGTTTAACTGCAAACATAGAAAAGTTGTCTATATGATAAACTTTTAAACTGCAAAGACAGAAAAAAAAAATCTGACCAAAGATTGTACAAAGGCAAATTAAGTGAGGAGCCCTTTTTCATACAAATTCAATTCTAAATACGGTAAAGGCAAACAATGAATTATACTGCATGATATGGCTTAAGACATGCATTTCATGTTGTACCATTTCCTCTAGCTGACCATCGAAGATATAAAGAAAAGGAGGCAGAGACAAAAACAAAACGCTGAATCAAGCCAACGAGCAAGGCGACGAGAGATGTTACGAGAGGATGTTCTTTGGAAGGTAAATGGTTATCTAGACATACAAACAAGGATTACTCGTCAACTTAACTGACTGACAGACAATTTGGTCTTATCTATGTCAAGTTTGAGTTTAGTGCAGTTTTGTTAATATCTATGACCGACAGACAGTTAGGTCTAATCTTTGTCAAGTTTGAGTTTAGTGCAGTTTTGTTAATATCTAAACACCAGATAAAGGGTGTAATTCAACATTTAATGGCCTTTTTTAAGATATCTCTACCAGGCCGCATATTACCCGTCAACAAGGCAGTATTTTCATTGTCAATATGGCAGATTGCACTCTTTTAATTTCAATGCTGAAAGATTTGTCACTCCTATTATTCTGAAAAATATTTAAAGCAGGACAGTTCTGGAAGTTATGTTAATACAGAGAGCAACTGTCTTACAGCCACATAGAAGTTTTTGTCCATACCAAATGTCTTGTCACCTTGTCATTTTGCCAAACCACATCCATTCCGATGCAATGATGTTGTTATGTAATTGTACTACTAATGTGTCTGAGGATGCCACTTAAAATTCTTTCTATGACTAACGAACATTTTCGGATTAAATAATATATAATAATGATTCCCCATTTTTTTTTTTTTTTAGAGAATTAATGTTTTCAGTGCAGCAAACAACAGATTGAGGAGGACACGGGATGCCTTACAGCAGGAAAAAGAAGATATAATGAACAAACTACAAAACATTGGATGCATCCATGAAACAATATCAGAATGTCCAACATCAAACAGAAATCTGCACATAAAAGTAGTGTCCCCACGAACCAGAACTCCAACAATATGTGTGTTGGAATCTTCACAAACCAGCAGTTCAGAAAAGAAATTGGTGTCGCCTCCTCACACAAGTCTAAACAAAAGTGTGATATCATCTCAACAAACAGGAAGTACAATCAAACAAGTGGAGTTGACTCCATCAACAGGAAGTCCAAAAGAACGTGTTGCCTTCATAAACAGGAAATTAAAAAAAAAGAGTGATGCTGCCTTCACAAACCGGGAAGTCCAAACAAACGAGTGATGCCGCCTTCACAAACATGAAGTCCAAACTAAATGAATTGTATTTACTGACCTGCCTGATATTGCTTCATCCGGACTCACATGTAGAGAATGAACTGTACATAAAATTATGGGAATAAATATTCCCAATCAATAATTCTAAAAAAAACTTTTGCTATCTTGTGCTTTCATTTCAAATAAAACACTGAGGACAGGATGATTTTTACAAAATGTTATTTCTGGTGTCGTCTGCTTGAATAATGGAAAACACTCAGGAAAATCCTCTGTAAAGGTCCTTGGAAGGTAATTTTAAAGTCATCCAAAAAGATATATATATACACCTTGAAAATAAATGATATGAAGAAAACTTAAGTTCATTCCAGAATTTCTCAGCTTTTGTTGGCATCTGCTTTAACAATGTCAATACAGTAAGACACAATAGGATACAATAGGATATTTTATGGACGCGTGCATTAAATTGCCTCTATATCCATATCATTACTGGTATACAGTATAAAATACATAGTATATTAGGTTATGCCTCCGGTGACTGATTTATGACTGGCTAAGTAATTACATTTTATCTCCCGATTTTTCCAATAATTACCTAAATTAATTTCAAATTCTTCTACTGTTTTGGATTTAATAACCGATTCAGACAGGTCATTCCAAATATCGACGATTCTAAACGTAAAGGAGTATTTTCAAACATCCATCTTGCAACGTTGCTTTTCTAACTTTTTTTAATTGCCTCTTGTGTCAAGTTGATGTTCAATAAGAACTTAAAAAGTGACGATTTCTCTTTCTTAAAAAAGATAAATTTTGCGTATGTGTAATCAGTTGTAAAAGAGTAACAATGGATATACCAGTCTATATTAAGTGACTAGGTACAGGCGTGCTGTATTTTCACATTGAATATTCTACAAACGTTGTGTCATAATTTGAAGGTAAGCCCTTCAGGACCTCGCAAGATCAGATATGAGTAAAATCCAACCCAATCAGGTCCCAAAGTAATGTCTGAAATACCTGCAAGGTGAAGGACAAACTTGAGAGCGAATGAGTGACAAACCGACAGTAACAGAGTCGGTGAAAGACCTGGCGATGGGGTTTTCTCTGAAAAATGTCATAACAAAATATGCATCGTGAAAAGATACAAAATTAAACCTTGACCTCTGACCCAGTGACCTTAACTTTCAGTCAGCTGACTCCTTCTTTAATTCTGACCAACTCAAAATGTTAGACCAAACTAGACATCATTGTGCTATCAAAAGTTACCATACAACAAGGGCTATAACTCTGGTAAGAATTGGCAGAAATGAATGATGTTTATGAAGACCCAAGATCATTTCATGTATAACATGTGTGCCAAATTTCATCAAAATCCATGTAAAAACTTTGAAGTAGTAGGCAGTACAAAATTGTGTCAATAGACAAACAGAAGGACACACAGATTCCAGTATACTTTGTTGCGAGAGATCTGAAGGTTGTAGCTAATGGCCTAGGCACTCAAACAGAGTTGTGACAGTTCCACATGCTTCAAACAGTGAAGGGGAGTTAGGGTACTGACAGAGACAAGAAAGTGCACACAGCAAAGAGGGTAAAGCATGACTACCGTACAATGTAGGAAAGCATTTACTGCCTGCAATGATGTAGCAGGAAAAGTAAGGATGCTGTGGTAACATCTGATGCCACCAGAAGTAGTCACATATTGCCTAATTGGGCCTTCATCCCTGACCTGACCTGATCAACCCAGCCAGTATACCTCGACTTGTAGTCTGAAGAGTACTTACCAGTGATTTTATATTTCTCTAGGTTGCAGTCAACCAAGACAAAAATGATATCGCAAACAGATATTCAGAACTTGCTCTGTGAGATGTTTGTCTGAGAGAAATGAGGATTACCAGGATTGGATAGCTCCAGTGTATTCAAGGTTAATTTTAAGGTAAAGTGGAAAGCATATAAAAATGAACATTTACTTGTGATAGGTAGTACAATTGTATTTCATTTTTCATATTTCTTTATCAAGTTTACAAATCTGTGCAGACCCCATCTGTTAACACTGGTTAAAATGTCTTTAGTAGTGTGTATCTACAAAAAGTCCTATCCTATCAGCTCTAAGACAACAGTTATTTCTAGATAAACCAAACTGGTTATCTGCATATCAGAACTGGTTTTATATACAACTTTCGTGTACTTGAATATTGTAAACACATATAAAATGTAAATGTGAAAAATCAGAACACATGATCATGACAAAAGACTCGATTATAAAGAGGCCATGTGACCACAACGACGACCAGTGACGTAAGTAATTAAATACCATAAAACATGAATATTCTTTCACATGTTCTCATGATTTATTAATCAAAATCTTCCTTTTTATCTCAACTTTTTATATAAAACAAAATATTTAACAGAAAAATCCATTCACAGGTGTAAATACAATTTCCATAAAAACTCTCCAGACTCATGAGACTTGTACATGTACAGTTCTATAAAACAGTCCAGACTGATGAGATTTGTACATGTACAGTTCTATAAAACTCTCCAGACTGATGAGATTTGTACATGTACAGTTTCTATATAAACAGTCCAGACTGATGAGATTTGTACATGTACAGTTCTATAAAACAGTCCAGACTGATGAGATTTGTACATGTACAGTTTCTATATAAACAGTCCAGACTGATGAGATTTGTACATGTACAGTTTCTATAAAACAGTCCAGACTGATGAGATTTGTACATGTACAGTTTCTATAAAACAGTCCAGACTGATGAGATTTGTACATGTACAGTTTCTATAAAACAGTCCAGACTGATGAGATTTGTACATGTACAGTTTCTATAAAACAGTACAGACTGATGAGATTTGTACATGTACAGTTTCTATAAAACAGACCAGACTGATGAGATTTGTACATGTACAGTTTCTATAAAACAGACCAGACTGATGAGATTTGTACATGTACAGTTTCTATATAAACAGTCCAGACTGATGAGATTTGTACATGTACAGTTTCTATAAAACAGTCCAGACTGATGAGATTTGTACATGTACAGTTTCTATAAAACAGTCCAGACTGATGAGATTTGTACATGTACAGTTTCTATAAAACAGTCCAGACTGATGAGATTTGTACATGTACAGTTTCTATAAAACAGTCCAGACTGATGAGATTTGTACATGTACAGTTTCTATAAAACAGACCAGACTGATGAGATTTGTAATTGTACAGTTTCTATATAAACAGTCCAGACTGATGAGATTTGTACATGTACAGTTTCTATAAAACAGTCCAGACTGATGAGATTTGTACATGTACAGTTTCTATAAAACAGTCCAGACTGATGAGATTTGTACATGTACAGTTTCTATAAAACAGTCCAGACTGATGAGATTTGTACATGTACAGTTCTATTAAACAGTCCAGACTGATGAGATTTGTAATTGTACAGTTTCTATATAAACAGTCCAGACTGATGAGATTTGTACATGTACAGTTTCTATAAAACAGTCCTGACTGATGAGATTTGTACATGTACAATTTCTATAAAACAGTCCAGACTGATGAGATTTGTACATGTACAGTTTCTATAAAACAGTCCAGACTGATGAGATTTGTAATTGTACAGTTTCTATAAAACAGTCCAGACTGATGAGATTTGTACATGTACAGTTTCTATAAAACAGTCCAGACTGATGAGATTTGTACATGTACAGTTTTTATAAAACAGTCCAGACTGATGAAATTTGTAAACAACATCAAAATGTCCAGAGATTTTTAAACAATATATTACAACTGTCAGTTGTAAAAACACCATTAAAATAAGTTTGACTGTTTCTGAAATCAATGTACTACCTGTGTGTAGATGTCTTACCTGTGACCTTTACTGCAGATGAATGTAAAATTAATATAGGGAAAATGGTGAGAAGGTCAACACCTAAAATGTGTCCCTTCCTCTCAAATTTATCATGATAAATCAATTAACGCTTCATCTCCTGGTATTTTCAAGTTTGTACCATGATCCAAGAAATCCTTGTCATTTCTACCAGAACTGACCGCACAAGTTCACAATGTTACAAATAAGCGAGTTAAAATGGACAAAACCCAACACTACCTGTGATGAATATTTTATGATAACTTAAATGATTTTCATGATAAACAGTCCTAACTTGCCCACCAGATAAAACAAGTATACTGACTACTGCTCTAGTAGTATTTATCCCCTACCAGCCTCCACAAGCTATTACACTGCAATATTTTATATAAATTTTCTAAAAAAAGTAACTGTGACCTTGACCCAATTGTCTTACTGTGGGAAGAAGCTCTTGAACTTAGAAATCTCTGGCAGCTGACCTCTTACCTTTCCATGGCCAATCAAGGAATTTACCCCTGGTTTGCCCTTGAAGTATTTAAAAGACGGAGAAGCAAGCTGACAGAGGGATTTAATCAAAAGTACAATAACCTGATAACATGCGCTAGAACTATTCATACCTGATGGAAAAATAGACAACAGACCTCGCGCTAATGCTTAAGTTCACTTGTCATTTTTGCAAAGATGAGTTAAAAATAAATGAAATTACACGAAATTCAATAATACACTTCAATCAAGTATTGTTTCAAATCTATATATTAGTGAACTTCTAAATATTATTATTCCGATATAGGGAAGAAAGTATCACAAAATGGTTCAATAAACAAACGGCTTAAGCAAGTCTATAACATTATACCTTATAAGGATTGATGGCCATTTCCGACCTTAACAGCATGTGGCTACAGGAATTTGTGTCAATTCATTCACTGAAATGAGTTACAATGTCCTAAACATGTTGATATTCATTCTCCTGAGTTGAGTTCCTCTTTTACATTGCTGTCCGTTAATAAAGCTTTGTATGTGGAACATTGCTGTAGGGTCATAACACCAAGCTCCACAGCTCTAGGTAGTACACGGCTATCCTCAACTAATTGTTCTAGCAAAGGGAGACCACCTTCAAGTTCCAGCATTGGGCAGTATCTGTCAGCTTGAAAATAGATAAAAGATACGCAAAACTAAAATGGTGTCAATAAAAAACAAAAAAAAATGTCACCCGAGACAAAAATTTCTGGTGACCTATTTTGCAATCCCCTGTTGTCTGTTTTTTTTTTTACATTTTCAACTTCTGGAAAACCCCTTGAACATTTCTTATGAAATTTTGCAGAAAATTTTCATGGTCAAAGGTGAACCAAAATCATAAATCCTAAGGTTCCCACTGCTCAGGGGCTGATTGGCTCGGCCAAAAAGGGTCAAATTTACTGAAATTTCAAAAATATTTTTCTCCATACCCAAATATGGTAAGATCAAATACTTTCCATGGATTAAAGGATTTCAAAATGCTTCACCAAAATTGTAACCTTGTAGTTGATATTCTATAACAATTGAAAGTAGATTGAACTTGGTTAGAATAGGATGACAATAAGATGTTATGCCCTGTTAACCCTTGCTGCTGCCCAGGGACTGATAGTTGGTACAAAAAAGGGTCAAATTGACTGAAATTTCGAAAATTTTCGATGGAAAGGTCCTATAAACTACTTTACCAAAACTGTAAATTTTATACCCCAGGATCTCACATCTCCCCCAGGGAGGGGGTGGGGGTAAAGCTAACAATAGTTTATGAAGTCTCTGTTACATCATGAAAGTTACAATAATGAGTTCAAACTTCATTAACAATCTTCTATTCCAGTATAAATAGCATTTCTCATTTCCTCTTCTCTATGATACACATTCACTCTAATTGCTTAATCTTTTAGGCACCTGGTCCTCTTGGTTTCCATCATCAGGTCCTATCTTTGGCTAGGTCAGGTTACAGGTCCTACCTTTGACTAAGTTAGGTTACAGAGCCTAGCTTTTGACTGGGTAAGGTTACAGATCTTAACTTACGAGTGGGTCAGAATACAGATCCCACCTTTGTCTGAATCAGAATACAGAGCCTAGCTTTTGACTGTGTCAGGATTCAGATTATACCCTTTGACTGGGTCAGAATACAGATCCCACCTTTGTCTGAATCAGAATACAGAAAACAGATCATACCTTTAGACCGAGTCAGGTTACAAAGTGCCCAGGTTGCCCAGAGTTGTGCCTCTGGAGTATCGTATTCCACCACTAACTCCAGGATCGGTCGCAGAGATCTGGTTAATAAGAATGTTTGTGTAGTTCCATTACTGCATTTTGATACTAGGTGCTGCGCAGGCTATAAAGGACTTACACAACTAAATCAGGCAATGGGAGACAGGGATTCTGTTTACCCTATTATGGTCTCTACCAAAAATTGAGATTTGATAAAAGATTAAGCCCTGTGGGGGTTTAAATTTATAATTTATAAAATATGAAAGAAGTTTGTATTTAATGGGCTTCATGAAAATGCATAGCTTTAACACATTTCAATGCATCTGGGACAGATTTAGTCAGTTGTTGGGGTTATTCCTAAGTAGGAATTTAGTTTCACTTGTAAACTTCTGATTGTTGACTTCTGAAAGTGATGACAGTCCAAGATGCCATTCAACCTACTGAATTATGCCATATGTTGCCTTTGACAGGCAGGTTTCTATGAATCTAGACAGCTGAATGTAAAGTTTACACACGGCAAATTTCAACAGAAGAAACACAAAGGTTATAGATCATGCCAATCCTTCGAATCAACATTTATTGTTCCAGGTACATCAACAATTTTGACCAACTGTCAAGGTTTGAGAAAACTTAAATGTATACAGTAGTCCTGGAGATGATTGTTTATTACGTATTTAGCAGTGAAATATAGAGATATCTCAAACTGATAAAAGTGATATTTTTCACTAGTGAACTAGCTTCGCACTCGTGAAAGATACCAAAATATTAGTCACACAAGTAAAAAATATTTGTCATTACTGAAGACACTATTAAATATCCTATATCTCTTTTCTAAACAGAAAATTAAAACTGCTCCCACATATGGTTGTGAATTGTTTTTGATCATTTGCAAGAAAAAGTTTTGTCAGAGATAATTATCATTTAGCTTATTATATATTAAGACACTTATGAAAAGGTTTCGTAGTGATCATCTTTCTTTTACTGAAATATTTTTTACGTAGTGCCTCTGTAAAACCCATGTTAAACATTGATTTAAATTTTTCTTGACCATTTATTCCTTTTAATTCTACACGAGGATTTGAAGTAATTTACAGAGTTATTCCCCTTCAAGTGATCAGTCCAGGTTACAGCTGAGCAATATCTGTAACTCACCTGTACTTTATCTTCATCTTGGAGTCCAGGTCCCAGCGGTCAACTGTCTCCACCATTTTGTTCAATACGACACTTCGTTCAGGTTGGCTGATAATCCATGTACTTAATGGATCGATGACCATCGTGGACATGACGGATGTTGCATGGTAGCTCACACCATTCTTGTCTAACTCAGAGTCCATTAAATTACTAAAAAATAAGAATTGTTTGCTCAATAAGGATCTTTATCATGGTGTTGTGTATAATGGCTTTGTCAGCAATCCATATTTTTTCAGTTACATACCAGTAAAATCTAGTGTGATTTTTTTAAAGATATATACAAATGATTTAAATTTTAATATATGTTCTTTTTACATATATTTACCAATATAACATCATCAGTTCTTCATTCATCAACTGTTTTCTTAGCTCTGGAACTTCAGAAAGATTAGCCTGAAAAACAAATCAAATTACATTGTTAAAATACAGACATCATGGTAATCTTGAACAAACCCACCATTTACACAAAAAGTTGGTTTCTCTCCCCAAGGATGCTTCAGACAGATCAAATTTGATTAAAATCTGTGCAATCATCCATGAATAGTTGCAATATATAGTAAAAGTTGACAGACACCGGACACTACTGTATTCCTTCAGGGCAGGTGAGCTAAAAAGCAGTCAAATTTGCCACCTGTATGTAACGAGTACCTGTGTATAAAGACCACTGGTTAAAGGTCCCTGTATCATATCCTTACTCACTCAACCTTTATATAGACCATCTATATATTGTAATGATTACCTGTGTATAAAGACCACTTGTTAAGGGTCCCTGTATCATATCCTTAACTAGCTCAACCTTTATATAGACCATCTATATATTGTAATGAGTACCTGTGTATAAAGACCACTAGTTAAGGGTCCCTGTATCATATCCTTAACTAGCTCAACCTTTATATAGACCATCTATATATTGTAATGAGTACCTGTGTATAAAGACCACTAGTTAAAGGTCCCTGTATCATATCCTTACTAGCTCAACCTTTATATAGACCATCTATATATTGTAATGAGTACCTGTGTATAAAGACCACATTGATTGACTACCAATCTTCTGTGTTATTAACAAACCCCTGTAATACTGGTAAAAATTTTGATCACCAATTTGTAATGCAATACTTACCATTAATCCCGTCATCTTCTTCAACAGCCCGTCTTGTTTGGCGAAGGTCTGAAAGTTCACAGATTTTGGAAATAAATATTCTATCATTGAATATTCACATTTGCCAAACATCACTCTAAAAACCAACCAATAAGTGCCATTTAAGGTATCATAAATGACATTCATCACCTAACCACTGCGATGGCAGTATCATGGGCAAATAAACAATGATGGTTCGTCATCAAATGACTGTTCCACTGGCCGATAACAATGACAATAAACCGTTTTTTATTTCACTTTGAATTAAATAATAATCAGCTTTGACCGATTTCGCTGATGATAATCAATCATTTATTTAATTTTGAATAAAGTTATAATCAGCATGAGATGTGTAGAGAATGTAAACATAAACACAGATCAAATTACGATGTTTTCCTTCAAAGCATGTCTTTTATTATGACCATAAATGCCGTAAAGAAAATTTCAGTTAATTACATCGCAAAATGGCTTATTCTCTAGCATTATGCAAACATGTTTTAACTTATCTCCTTTAATGCTAGCATATTCAACTCAGTATTTATGGCATTACATTCCAGGGCATAGAACTGCAGACTCAGGTATCAAGTAAGCTTGGTTTGTGTAATTTTAGTGGTGGACCGAATTTCAGTTCAATAACTTTAAACAGAACAAAACCATCAAAGACACCTGTATACATGACATGTAGATATCCATGGCTGATGGTTCCTCCATAAATCGCTTGGCATTCTCTGGCATGTCATCTACAACATAACAATTTATCATTATACAAAGTTCTTTATATGTAGAACAACTTTTTTCTGTCAGGTGAATAAGTCTTCAGGACTAGGAATTATTGGGATTGTAACAGTAAGACTCAAGAAACTCCAGAAACAGTTATCAGAATTATACTAGTAGGACCTAACAGAGATTTTACCAGTACCACTCCGCAGACATTTACAGAGATTTTACCAGTACCACTCCGCAGACATTTACAGAGATTTTACCAGTACCACTCCGCAGACATTTACAGAGATTTTACCAGTACCACTCCGCAGACATTTACAGAGATTTTACAAGTACCACTCCGCAGACATTTACAGAGATTTTACCAGTAAGGCTCCAGACAGTTATAGAGATTTTACCAGTAAGTCTCCAGACAGTTATAGAGATTTTACCAGTAAGGCTCCAGACAGTTATAAAGATTTTACCAGTAAGGCTCCAGACAGTTATAGAGATTTTACCAGTAAGGCTCCAGACAGTTATAGAGATTTTACCAGTAAGGCTCCAGACAGTTATAGAGATTTTACCAGTAAGGCTCCAGACAGTTATAAAGATTTTACCAGTAAGGCTCCAGACAGTTATAGAGATTTTACCAGTAAGGCTCCAGACAGTTATAAGAGATTTTACCAGTAAGTCTCCACAGACAGTTATAGAGATTTTACCAGGAAGGCTCCAGACAGTTATAGAGATTTTACCAGTAAGGCTCCAGACAATTATGGGGATTTTACCAGTAAGGCTCCAGACAGTAAATCTCAGTTAGGCTCCAGACAATTATAGAGATTTTACCAGTAAGGCTCCAGACAGTTATGGAGATTTTACCAGTAAGGCTCCAGACAATTATAGAGATTTTACCAGTAAGGCTCCAGACAGTTATAGAGATTTTACCAGTAAGGCTCCAGACAATTATAGGGATTTTACCCAGGAAGATTCCACAAGAAGTTATTGGGTTTTTACCAGTAAGACTCCATAAACAGCTCCAGGCACGCTCCATGGTATCATCACAGCAGGAATTGGCCAACTTGTGGCGAATCAGTGACAACAGGTACTACAACACAAACAATTAATAAGGAAGTAGGTCTACAGATCCTGGACCTTTTGAAATTTATTTCACGACAGACTACAATGAAGCTATTAGATAGGTTTAGAAATTTGACAAATGACAATAAAGATTTTGCATCATTTCTTACTAAAAAAAAAAAACCCCAAAAAACTATGTATACCTCATTTTTATCTTTATGCTTCAAGGCTTGGAGAAATATTTCATAGATCAAACAGGTATTCAAAACACGAGATACAGACGCTATAGAGGGTAAGTGTTTGTTTATTGCTATTTTTTAATAAAACATTCAAAAAGTTAACTTTCCAAATCGTTTTATTCTTCTTCATCCATAATACCCTACTGTATACTGGTCCATGTAAAATACATATGACTGTGAACTGATTGGGTAGAGAAACTGTCGAAGCTTTTCTGATTTTAAGTTGGATATGCTACAGACATGTACCGGGTATATGGTATGAATGTTCCCTATATGTAGGAGTATTAACATAATGATTTCAAAAATGTAACGAGAAAATTCAATACAGAAGTAAATAAATCATCATGATCATTTATCTTGCTTCTACCACTTTTTTGTTTTATCTTATCTGTTAATGCCGTCCTTCTTAATATTTTTCATCCTTTCAAGATGAAAAAGTTCCACGTCCACTGTTTGGCAGTAAATAAAAATTAAAACATTGTACGAACATTGTCTTAATATTGATATAAAGTTCAAATATTTTCTAAAATTACTTTTTCATGAAATTCATTCACATTCATGTATAAATAATATTTTTACAGTGACAAGATCATCTTCCAGGAAGTTTTACTTGACATTCTGTAAATTCTGCACATTGAAGACTCTAGTTACCGTCAACGTATCTGTTTCTCTGCCAATTATAGATTTTTCCGGCCTCTCTGTTCTGCATGTTTCGTGTAAAAGCTTCAAGGCATACATTTCAAAGAAATCGCCATGATAGGAATTCAGGATTCGAAGAAGGCAGTTGACATATCTCTTGAACAGGTGACAATAAACCTACAATGATTAAAGAACCATTAGCAATAAAGCCGTCTACGAACAGCCATGAAATGTCACTCACGTTGGACAAGTAAGATCGGGACAAAGTTCGCTATCACTTAAACAGTCGCTGGCATACAGACCCAAACAAGATATATAAAACCACCTTTTTTATGTCATAAGTACTGTCAAACCTACATTACGAGGTCATCTAATGAACCGCCAGAAATTGTCCGCTTCAGACAGACGGCTGATAAAACCAGGTTCAAAGTTTTCATATGTGTACAGTTGTAGTATCATAAGTCTATTAAATATACATGTAGAAGTTATATAACTGCAGGATAATACATTAACTGTGGGCATACAGTATGATGCACACATAATGCATACATGATTCACATTTCTGGGAAGTTCATGTTCAGTTTTTAATCCTCACATACATATCTAATGTATGGCTTCCTATATCAAGGACAATTTGTGTATGATGGCATCAGTGTAGTTAAAAAACACAAAAATCAAAATATCTTTTAGACAGATACATATTTAATGTGTTTGAGTTTCATTTTAATAATTGAAAATTTCTATAATAAAATCCATAAAGCTTACCTTCAGTAAATAAGAAGCTGTGTATACAGTAAAGATCGTTATTTTGTAGAATTTTTTTTCTCCTCTATTTTTGAAAATGCAATAAAATTGCAAAAACGGAATAGAGAAAATTATATTCAGATTAATGATCTCAGTGAATATTACATTTGTTTTGCTTCCAGGTTCTGCTTACACCCTGAAAATTTGAACCACTAAAAACCAACTCTTTATAGTAATGCGCACACAGTTTGACCTTATTATGAGCACGACCTGACCTGCATGTATACAGATACAAACAAGGTACAAAATACTATTCTATATTCTATATACATGAAACATACCGAGAGACAGATATGATCAAACAAATACCAGTAGATAAAGAAGAGCTCCCAGACGGATCTTTGCATCCACAATTGTTTGATCTTTATTTGCTCTTTAAAAATTGGATCTTTTCTCTTTTCCATTCTCTTCTCTGTTTTTGCTCTTAATGCTAAGAAATTTAAACATTCCTTTTCCGAAAAATAGCGATGGTAATCGTTACCTGCCAAATCCAAGATGGCTATCTGTTTTTTTCTAATCAGACCCAAAATCAAATTGGCATCACTAGGGACCAAGGGGAACCTACATATGAAATTTGCGAGAGATCCATTGAGTACTTCTCAGGAAAAAGTGATAACAATTTTTCAAAGTAAAAATCCAAGATGGCCAACTGTGGGCAATTTTATTTTTCTGATCAGACCCAAAATCAAATTGGTACAACTAGGGACCAAGGGGAACCTAGGAAACCTACACATGAAATCTGAGAAAGATCCATCCAAGAAAAAAATGATAACAAAAATTGTTTACGGATGGACAGACGGACGACGGACCATGGAATGTACAGTTATTTGAATGACCCACCATCCCATGATGGGAGGAGGGGTCATAAATTAAAATAAATCAATAAATTAACACAGATAGACCTGCTCACACTAAGAAGGGGTACAAATGGTTGGAAAGACTTACCGCATCATGAGGCATATTCAGGCATAAAAAACTGCACACACAGCACTTGGCCGTCTGAAAACACACAATTCCTAATATTTAGATACTAAAGTAACATAAGTACCCTTCAGTATTATCATAAATTTACAGTACAGCTAAAGAAGTCCCCTATTACAGACGGACAGACAGACAGACAGACAGATGCACTGACAGACGGACAGACAGACAGACGTTACAGTAGTTGGTGTACCTCAGGAATTGTTTTCATTCACAGATCTGACAATGTGATAAGGACCTTATATTTACACCAAGTCATTCAGATCATTTTTCTCCAAACATTTAAAAGCATTCAGTCAATATAAGCCTAAATCAAAACATTCAGAATGTATTAGGATAGTAAACAAATATTTTGAATGATCATTCCAAAAATTTTGTTAACTGGTGACACAACACAAGAGTCTCTTTCTACTTCATAATTATGTAGGTGTTATCTTATACCTGGTTAACCCACAACACAAGTGTATCTACCTCATAGTTACATAGGTATCATTTTGACCTGGTTAACACACGACACAAGTGTATCTACCTCGTACTTACATAGGTATCATTTTTGACCTGGTTAACACACGAAACAAGTGTATCTACCTCGTACTTAAATAGGTATCATTTTGACCTGGTTAACACACGACACAAGTGTATCTACCTCATACTTACATAGGTATCATTTTTCACCTGGTTAACACACAACACAAGTGTATCTACCTCGTACTTACATAGGTATCATTTTTGACCTGGTTAACACACGACACAAGTGTCTCTACAATGAAGGTTCGTGTCCTTTGTGGTATGGCCTGACTCTTTCCATTCATCATTAGGAACAGGCAGGCACTGACAACAACATAAAAATAGCATATAATATCACACCATACAACATCACACCATACAATATCACACCATACAACATCACACCATACAACATCACACCCATACAACATCACACCATACAACACCACACCATACAACATCACACCTTATAACATCACACCATATAACATCACACCATACAATACATACAACATCACACCATACAACACCACACCATACAACATCACACCTTATAACATCACACCATAAAATATCACACCATACAACATCACACCATACAACACCACACCATACAACATCACACCTTATAACATCACACCATAAAATATCACACCATACAATACATACAACATCACACCATACAACATCACACCATATAATATCACACCATACAATACATACAACATCACACCATACAACATCACAATATATAACATCACACCATAAAATATCACACCATACAACATCACACCATACAACATCACAATATATAACATCACACCATAAAATATCACACCATACAACATCACACCATACAACATCACAATATATAACATCACACCATAAAATATCACACCATACAACATCACACCATACAACACCACACCATACAACATCACACCTTATAACATCACACCATAAAATATCACACCATACAATACACACAACATCACACCATACAACATCACACCATATAATATCACACCATACAATACATACAACATCACACCATACAACATCACAATATATAACATCACACCTTATAACATCACATCATACAACATCACACCATATAACATCACACCATACAACATCACACCATACAACATCACACCATACAACACCACACCATACAACATCACACCTTATAACATCACACCATAAAATATCACACCATACAATACACACAACATCACACCATACAACATCACACCATATAATATCACACCATACAATACACCATACAACATCACACCATATACACATACACATCACAATATATAACATCACACCTTATAACATCACATCATACAACATCACACCATATAACATCACACCATACAACATCACACCATACAACATCACACCATACAACACCACACCATACAACATCACACCATATAACATCACACCATATAACATCACACCATACAATACATACAACATCACACCATAAAATATCACACCATACAATACACACAACATCACACCATATAACATCACACCATATAATATCACACCATATAACATCACACCATATAACATCACACCATATAATATCACACCATACAACATCACACCATATAACATCACACCATACAACATGACACCATACAACATCAAACCATATAATATCACACCATACAACATTACACCATACAACATTACACCATATAACATCACACCATACAACATCACACCATACAATATCACACCATATATCACACCATACAACATTACATCATACAACATTACACCATATAACATCACACCATATAACATCACACCATACAACATCACACCATACAACATCACACCATATAATATCATACCATACAACATCACACCATACAATATCACACCACACACCATACAACATCACACCATACAACATCACACCATACAACATCACACCATATAATATCATACCATACAACATCACACCATACAATATCACACCATATAATATCACACCATACAACATCACACCATACAATATCACACCATACAACATCACACCATACAACATCACACCATACAACATCACACCATATAATATCACACCATACAACATCACACCATACAATATCACACCATACAACATCACACCATACAACATCACACCATATAATATCATACCATACAACATCACACCATACAATATCACACCACACACCATACAACATCACACCATACAACATCACACCATATAATATCATACCATACAACATCACACCATACAATATCACACCATACAACATCACACCATACAACATCAAACCATATCACACCATACAACATCACACCACACACCATACAACATCACACCATACAATATCACACCATACAACATCACACCATACATTGTACACTACTAATACAAATAATTTTACAAAATTTATTTCTTATCAAGACAAAGTTAATGTACAAAATCATTTCAATCACCTCACTTGAGAAAAAAAAAATCTTAACAAATTTGAAATCAGCCCTTCAGGACTTTACCACAATAAAGGAATCTTAAATCTAAAAAAATTCTCCTTATTGAGAAGAGGACTCTTTATCAAAATTGAATATTTCAAACTACATTAAATTGTTGTTTTGAAGCTTAAATACTTAGGTCAATTGTAACATTGTTTAATAAAATCAGCACTGACTTGGCAGATCTTTGGATTTCTCTGCACAGTGGATGGAGCTGTATTGCCTTTAACATTGTCTGTAAAGCAAAATAAACATTTATACATCCACATGGGTGTAGCTCTCACACACAAGAGTTATTTCCCTTGTTTAAGGTTGCAGTCAGCTTATTAATGATGCCACATACATAGCTCTTCAAAGTCAAGGGGTTTTAAAATCGTCATCAAGTAAAAAAAATCTTATTATCATACACCATTAGTAGTATATGGCCTACTTGGTCTTTTGATTGAGGAAATTAAAATGTGCAATACTTAATTCATGATGATTTCATAATTTTATTTTTATATAGATTTCTATTAATTCAATGAGTGATGATTTATCTCACTATTTCTGATATTGTCAGTTTTGTAATAAATTATAAGTTATCTATTCATTTCTGATATTGTCAGTCTTACAATGAATCATAATTCATATGAGGAGAGTATGAATCACAACATACTCATGCATTACCCAGGTGGGTGTTATTATTCGTCAACTAGTTTCGCCTCGGTCGTGGTGGATTCATCAGGACAAATTCATATATACATTTTAGTTTTGGTTAATCAGCCTGCATACCTTATGGTATCTAAACTCACAGCAAAGTACATACTTAACGTCCACTCACTTACATCCGACACTGGCTCCTTCCTTTTGAAGAATTATAATTTATCTACATATTTCTAATACTGTCAGTTTTGTTGTAAACCATAATTTATCTATATATTTTTGATATTGCTAGTTTTTTTTATAAATTATAATTTATCTTTATATTTCTAATATTGTAAGTTTTGCATATTGATTAGATGCATTTCAGTAAATGTTATGTCATACACCCCCAACTGATGACATTAACAAAATATAAGTACTGTACAGGTCAATTCATTCTCTGAACAGTTTGAAAAACAGAAGAAAAAACATGTCAAACACACATGGTTGTTACATAGATATTTCATTCACTATTGTTAAAACTGAATTTTTTTTGTAACTTATGAAAAATAATGATCTCGAGTGAATGATGTTCAGCATTGTTTGAATAACCTCTGTCTACCTTTACATATTACGTCTGAACATCATTTTGCCTATATCAGATCCAAAAACAGATTTTTGAATGTAAAAAACTGATAAAAATAAAGAAATATCAGTCAATTCTAGCCTTTTTACAACTTGAGCAGGTTATGTGACCAATATCAGATTGACCTGACAAAATCAGGTGCAACGTAATGATTTCCCAGCCGCAATCAATACCTACACAATTATTTTTCAAATGTTAAATAATATCTATTTCATGGTTTGAACAAGGACTCAAAGTGATTTTAAATATCTGTTAAATATTTTTTCGTAGAAGCATTACAGAACAGAAAACAATTTGCAATAGACGGTCAATGGTTTCAAACACTATAACAATGACACCAAGAGATGATCCTTCAACACTTTGGCATTCATAGCCAATACAAAAGGCCTGATGGGCCTGCGTTTCTCACCTGGTTCACATCACTTTTACTTACTTCCTTCAAACAAGCGTCATCTTATGAACCTATCAGACAAATGGTATGTTTCTGGGACTTTTGGTCAATCAAATGAAGCTGCTTAAAAGTTTTAACACATTTGACCCCTGTGACCTTGAATGTAGGTAAAGGTAATTTCTTTTTGCAAATTTTGTTGGGTTTTCAATCCTGGAACCTATCCGCTCAATATCATGTTTCTGGGTATTTTGATTAATCAGAGGAAGTCATTTTAAGGTTTCAACAAATTTGACATGTGACTTTGAATATGGGTCAAGGACATTTTATTAGCAAAGTTTAGAGCAGAATTCCTACCAGGAAACTACCAGTGAAAAATCATCATCATTTTCTATGTGTCTGTTTCATAATCATCATCATAGCATGTACAAGAAGCAGTATGAAAGTATGCATGTGTGTAAGCATTGTGTCTAAGTGCTTTTGTCATGTATTGATATTGTAGTGAGAAATCCCTGAGAAAAAAAAAATTATATCTAAAATAAAATTTTCCATGCTTCTGTGCCTATTGGTTAATGAACAGGAATTGTTTTAAGGTTTTAACAAATTTGACCCCCTGGGTCAAGGTAATTTTTTGTTTGTGTTTTGTTTGTTTTTTTATTTGGAATTCATATTAGGAACTTATTAACAAAAACATTATGTTTCTTAATGTCATATTAGAATTATTTCATATGTGTAATATGACATTTATTACACATGTGTTGTATGACATTTATTACATGTGTGGTATGATGTTTATTACAAATGTGTAGTGTGACATTTATTACACATGTGTGGTATGACATTATCATATATGTGTAGTATGATGTTTTATTACATATGTGTAGTATGATGATCATTACATATGTGTAATATGACATTTATTACATATGTGTGGTATGACATTATCATATATGTGTGGTATGATGTTTATCACATGTGTAGTATGACATTTATTACATATGTGTGGTATGACATTATCATATATGTTTAGTATGATGATCATTACACATGTGTAGTATGACATTTATTACATATGTGTAGTGTGACATTTATTACACAACAGAACAGTACATAGATGAAATCTTTACTGAACTACTTACAGGTACTCCATCAAGTATTTTATTTGGGCGAGGTCCAACACGAAGCCCTGCAAACAGCTTGTTGAGAACATGGGTAAGCATTTTCTCATTCTCCAGGTACACACTGGCAGAGAACAATATCTGATCATCGTTCTCCCAGCCAGAGAACTGAAAAATTTAAACAGCTGTGATTAAAATGGCCATAGGAATAACCAAATTACAGATTAGCAAATAAACAAATATCAATCATTCTGAAGGTTGAAGAGACAAAACTTAAAAAAAGACAAAAATGATAACCATGGACTGGTATTACTTTAGAACACATTACATATGTGTAAAAAGGGAGTTCATAGGGCCTGTGTTGCTCAACGGTTTTGTAGGTTATAAAAAAAATTATTCTGAATAGCTAAAAAAGTAATTTATATATAACTTTTCAAAGTTGATCTAGCTTCCTGAAAAGAAAGTGTGAAGATAAAGACAGGTTTTCACTAACATGACTGTACAAGAGACATTCAAAAGATTAGCACCTTTCAATACAATTATAGATAAAGATATTATTATGGTGTCAGAAGCTGTTAAACATATTATATATTATATATATATATAAGAGCCGCAAAGTGTGTCATTATCCCCCGCACCCAGCTGTCAGTGTAAAACCCAAATATTATATATATATATATATATATAGGAGCCGCAAAGTATGTTAGTGTAAAACCCATATATTATATATTATATATATATATATATATAGGAGCCGCAAAGTGTGGCATTATCCCCCGCACCCAGCTGTCAGTGTAAAACCCATATATTATATATATATATATATAGGAGCCGCAAAGTGTGGCATTATCCCCTGCACCCAGCTGTCAGTGTAAAACCCATATATTATATATATATATATAGGAGCCGCAAAGTGTGGCATTATCCCTTGCACCCAGCTGTCAGTGTAAAACCCATATTATATATATATATATAGGAGCCGCAAAGTGTGGCATTATCCCCCGCACCCAGCTGTCAGTGTAAAACCCAAATATTATATATATATATATAGGAGCCGCAAAGTGTGGCATTATCCCTTGCACCCAGCTGTCAGTGTAAAACCCAAATATTATATATATATATATATAGGAGCCGCAAAGTGTGGCATTATCCCTTGCACCCAGCTGTTAGTGTAAAACCCATATATTATATATTATATATATATATAGGAGCCGCAAAGTGTGTCATTATCCCCCGCACCCAGCTGTCAGTGTAAAACCCAAATATTATATATATATATATAGGAGCCGCAAAGTGTGGCATTATCCCTTGCACCCAGCTGTTAGTGTAAAACCCAAATATTATATATATAATAATAAAAAGATAAAAACTTTGTGTATCGTGTATACAGAGAGAATTAATCACTTAACATGACAAACAAATATATCACTAACGTTTTCGGGTCTCGCGGCCATCTTCAGGTGATTACATTCCATGTACACTGTACATTACTTAGTAACCTACATTGTGAAGTAATGTTATTGTTATAATAAAAGGGGAGTTAATAACGTTATTAATTGTGTCCCAACGCAATCTTCAGTGTGTATTTAGGGACGGTTTAAACAGTTTGACAAAAAAATCTTCTTTGATGATTCGTTTTGATGTTGTAGATTCTGACATCTTATAGAACGGGTATATAAAAAAGTTTCCTTTGCCGCAGATGTCCAAATGTTCACTCAGTGGGATATTCCGTGTTTCCGGCGAGCGTATCTGCTGTCTGTGAACCCGAACTCTTTCAGATAGGGCATTTCCTGCCTGCCCAATGTAGTTTTCGAGACACGTTGGACAGGTAATGCAGTAAATTAAGTTTCTGCTTTTACAGTTTAAATCACAGTTTGGTTTCACCATTTTCCCGTTTTTCAGGGTTATGGAATATCCTGCTGAGTGAACATTTGGACATCTGCGGCAAAGGAAACTGTTAGCTGTTAGTGTAAAACCCAAATATTATATATATATAGGAGCCGCAAAGTGTGGCATTATCCCCCTCACCGAGCTGTTAGCGTAAAACCCAAATATTATATAAATATATACACCGGTATAACAATTTGTGACCTCATTCAATTATGTACCGCTACTATCACCTAGAGATCTAATACAGTGAAAGGGCTAGTGAAAAAATGTAAAAAAATGTCTTCTTTTGTCAATTATCAATTAAATTTCCTTGCATCCCCTCAACTTCAACATTATATATATTTATATATATATATATATATGTTACAAGGAATTGAAATTGATATTGTATGGTGTGATGTTGTATGGTGTGATGTTGTATGGTGTGATATTATATGGTGTGATGTTGAATGGTGTGATGTTGTATAGTGTGATGTTGAATGGAGTGATGTTGTATGGTTTGATGTTGAATGGTGTGATATTGTATGGTGTGATGTTGATAGTAACAGATGTCCTCAATAGGTAAAAGACATAACAAGGGCACTAACCCAATATATACAGAAAGTTGAGTTGAGTGAAATGGTTTTAAAGTTGTAGCACTGGTACACACATGGACGTACAGCACCCAAATTACTTGCTTATCGTGTGGATAATTAAAATGCATCATACAAGTGCTTCATCTGTCTAGAACTTTTCAGAAATGCTAGGGAGTGAATATGTTAGGACCAAATATTGAAAGTGAAACAGATCAGGATGGAGGACAGTAAAGTCCAGAAACCTTTTAGTGCCGTTAGTGAAAAATATTCTGGTGGCCGACACTAAATGTTAATTTAAATTTTCTAGCGGTAGCCACTTCATTTCTTATGACACATAACATATTTTCAATAAAGGCACTATCAGGCTTCCATAGTAAAAAAAAAATGGTTATCACAGAATGAGAGATTAGGGAGGAATTCTACCTGGTCTGCTGGTGTGTCATTCCAGGAAAATGGTAAATCAGGACAGTTCCACAGCCCCAGGAAAGCAAAGTGTCGTCCACTAAGACTGTTACAACTCTTCTCTGAGGTACACATGCCACTGGTTATAACACCAAAGATAGATTTCATCAAAATATTAACAGCAAAGATATTTTCCCAATATTGTATGGTTGATGATATTTGTAAGGGATTTATTTTCGCAATATTTGCGAGGCCATAAAACAGATGGAAGTGAAATACCCAGTTAACATTAACACCAATAACAACATAAATGGCCCAAAATGGGCATTGGACAACCATAAAATATTAGCCCTGAAAATTGAACTACAATCCTGTATCAGACATCAAAAATTACAAATTATCTCCCTATATCAAAAATTTCAAACCAATGAATTATCTCCCTTTATCATTCTTGTTCACATCTACCATTATCATACATCTGAATAACTAAAATTACCTTCCTTTATAAACTTATCAAATGCCATAGATTTCAAATTCCAATATCTATCCTACTACATAATAGCTCTAACATTAGACTACCTACATGCTTCCTTCCTGCTGACCGCTGGTCTCCAGTTTGTGTGAAACACTTTCTTTGAGCCTGTCACCTGCGAGATTTGTGCCTGAGATGTCTAGAGATGTGAGATTAGACAGTAGTTCGAGTAAAGCAGACATATTTACCACTGCATTGGGGTAGATTTTAGGGTCCTGGGAACTACATGAGATATCTAGGTGTCTGAAAAAGATAGTTTCAAACTTTTAAATGATATAAACAAGATAGCCAAAAGTTTGAAATGGTAAACTCTGGTTAAACTAGCTTGTAAGGAAATTTAGGTGTCTGAAATATAAATTCAGGTTATATCAAGTTTTAAAGGAAACAGAGAATAGAGAAAAAGAGAGAGCCAGTGCCTGCTACTTCCTTCAGATTTAATAATGGTACCCTCGTCCTCTGCTTGGATACCAAAAAGTTTGCAGGGTGTCCCACTAATTAAGAAAGTAAAAAGATAAAAGTGGTGGTGATCACAACATGTCAGGAGGTCTTGTCACAGCTGTAACAGGTGAAACTCAAGGTCACAAAATCCAACTTAGTAAACCTTAACATTCCAGCTTCTTGTCACACACCACCTCCTTCAACTTGTAAAGGAACTACACAAGACGTCTGGGTGTCTGAAATGACAAATCTAGGTTACTCTGGCTTGTAAAGGAACTACACAAGATATCTGGGTGTCTGAAATGATATAAATTCAGATGATCAGGGTATGCTTTAATTGTAATCTATCAATTTAAATCAATCTTTCAAAATTTCTCATCCGAACAAGAAAAATTTCATTTCATCTCTTATTTTAATTTAATTTTAAAATGATATTCTAATTATTATGTGTGATAACCTGCTTTCTTCATATTCACTTCTTTTGCTAATATCTCTTGAAATTTTAAAAATTAAGGAATAGTATGAAATAAACAGTCTACCTCAAGGTTTAATACAATACAGTATTGATCCTGTCATCAGCCTATGGGACCAATATTTTGACTCGAAGTCAGAAGTGTGCTGATATTTCTATTACATTATGAAGAAATAAGATAATCTGTAAATCTACTAAACATGAATCATAATAAATCTAGGTTAATTGGCCTATTACTAGGTGTTGGCATATTGACAGATAATGTCAGGGACATTACCATTGTAGTTCCATTTCTGTTTTACCTATACATATACAAATATATCATTTAAATTTAACTTTTAATATCGATGATCTTTCAATCACTGTCACCAACTCATCTGATTTGTTGCGTCAAACTGATATTGGCGATATCATAACCTGCTCAAATATTGGAAAATACTAGAACCACCTGATGTTTCTTTTAATTTTCATCAGTATTTGAAAATTTCAAAATTTGGATCTATTATACTTTAACATGTTCAAACATTACATAGAATAATAGAAACAAGATAATTATGCAACAGAATTGATCTTTTAGAACATCAAACCACCCTTGATTTTGATCAGATAGATGGCTAGAAGCTGGTGACACTGCTCAATAGCATATTACTAGCAGTGTTATATATGTATTCTTACTTTAATTTGGAAGCTTTCCCAAGTTTCACGAATCCTTCATGTATATCGTCAAACTGAATTCCGGACAATACAAGAAATGTGATTTTTGGCAAGGCAACAATAGAATCCAAATCATTTTCTGTGATTCCACAGCCAGTCAAATTTAGATGACACAAGTTCTGTAGAGGTTCCACTAAACACTTCAACATTGTCGGTGATTCAGTAAATTCTCTATGTTTAAAATTCTGTACACTGAGAAGACGAAGGTCTACAATGTTACTGGATATCAATGGCGCCATGTTGTCTCTCGACTCCTGCATCTTTGTTAGTTTATTTACACTCTCTGTGGTGGACATGTTTCCACATCTCAAACAGTTAGGCTTGGCCCATAACTTTAATGCTCTCATAGAGTTCCTTAATTTTTTTATCAACTGGAAAATTTCATAACTGAAAACATCACAAAAACTGCAACAGGTGAGTTCTAAGTGGTTAAGGGGGTGATTGAACAGGGACTGTGACCCTGGCTCTGAAAGGTCAATCTGTTGTCGAATCACTACTTTTGAGAGTGGTGTTTTCTCTATGTCACTGAACACAGGTATAAGGTCTTGACACTGTGCATTCCATGACTCGCTAACATTTCGTGTCAGGTAGTTGAACAAATTATCACTGATGGTTGTTGGAAAGTTTAGGCCAGGTTGCAACCTCTGAAATGAGCTATCCCATGGCCCAGACTCCTCGGCAGCTTTCACCAAGATGCTCATATTATTCATGCAGTAGCTGACACACATATCAAGAAGGGTGTCAGGACCATTCTCTTTTCCTAGTTGGTATGGCATCTTCAATGTTTTTACAGTCTTTCTTTACAAATTAGATAATTTCTGCAATGAAAAATGAAAATTACTTTACATTTTATGTATGGTCTCCAACACTTGTAAGAGCCTATATACTACCCAACAACCCAATACAAATTGTAATTCTGTCATTAACAGCATTGCAGCTGGTGCACGTGGTAGTCAGGAGATTCCTCTGGTTCAAGCACCAGATGTACATATTTTAACATGAAAAATAATTAGCTTTGCGGTTATGATGGGCACCATAAATGACCAGGCGGGTCTAGGTCGTAAATGTCAATAGTAGAGTGTTGGTTAAAGTACCGGTTTCTCGGTATGTAACTTTCTGGACCGTAACTGTACCCCAGTCGTTATACGTAAGTAAGTAGGCTTACATTTATAGAAAATAACCGACAGCACCCATATCGCAAGGTGATTTTCTTAAGATTCTTATACATAACTGTTATTTGAAGTCTTTAAACAAGTGACAATATATCGTATACACGCAAAAATTGAATCTGGTTGGAAAAGGCAACGTCATTTTCTGCGGCGATTTTGTAAACAACAACAAACCGACAAGTGACCTACTTCTCGAGTAACTTTCGCTCGTGTCCCTCTGGTCAATCGGATACTCGATATTGCGGGACATTTTCATGGATGTATACATAATTAACCAAAGTAACTATATGCATGACATATCCAGGTGACAACTTAGCAAAACGGTACTTTCAGCAAGCAGTCCCAACTCTTAACAAATATGAAGTATAGACCTAACAAAACCGGAAATGCATTAACACTATCTAACTTCCGAACGTGGCGCGGTTTCCTGAAAAAATGTTAATAATGTTACGGTGACGCATAGAGAGCTTAAAAAAACCGTTATTTTAAAGCTTAAGATTTCGATGGTATTTAACATGTATTAAAAGCCATAAAATTCCAAGCAACCTTTTTCAATAAGCATCTGACATGAAAATTGGGTTCGGTTATACAAAGTCCTAGATAATCGAGTATCACTATAATCCTAATAGCGTATTTGATAACGACACTCAAGATGAAACTGAAATTTTAAAAGGGATTTGATTGCTATTTTAAATGCCTGTTGTAGCATCCTTGCCCTTTCCATGTTGCTTATAACAACTTTATATGTATTCTCCAATGACACCACATGACAACGCAAAGGGCCAGATAAAACTTTTACAATTCCGTGTTGATGATTCTTAAATCGTTTTCAGTAAAGAAATTGTGCTCATAATATAGTTATTCTACGTAAACGATGGTAAATTGTACCCCCTCCCCAGAAGGAAATGGGAGACCCTGTGATCATGATATTCCATACTTTGATACAGAACCTTAACACATTTCCTTCAATGACGACTATTTGATTATACCATCTGAATATTAAGATTTTTGAAATTTGAGTCAATTTGGCCTGTATTTATCCCGCCCGTCAGCTCCTGGTGGTCAGTCAGAATAACTACGTGTCTACCATCAAATCATTATCATGCACTAATATTTCTAATCAAGTTTGAAATATTAACAGCGGAAATTAAACATAAATATATATAACTGTTGTAATATATAATTTGTATACTTGTACACATAAATATATATAATTGTTGTAATATATAATTTGTATACTTGTACACATAAATATATATATAATTGTTGTAATATATAATTTGTATACTTGTACACATAAATATATATAATTGTTGTAATATATAATTTGTATACTTGTACACATAAATATATATAATTGTTGTAATATATAATTTGTATACTTGTACACATAAATATATATAATTGTTGTAATATATAATTTGTATACTTGTACACATAAATATATATAATTGTTGTAATATATAATTTGTATACTTGTACACATAAATATATATAATTGTTGTAATATATAATTTGTATACTTGTACACATAAATATATATAATTGTTGTAATATATAATTTGTATACTTGTACACATAAATATATATAATTGTTGTAATATATAATTTGTATACTTGTACGCATAAATGTATATCGTTGTTGTAATATTGGAATTAATAGTATGTGGATTTTAAAGACACACTCTTAATACACTTCTTCTATAAGAAAATTTGATTTTTTCCCACCCAGCATACCACCATACCCATGCTAAACTAAATGAACGCTTTTGTTCTCTTCTTATATGAGCTTTCGGTTCCAAGAAAAGTGAGAACGGCGGTATAGATATATGGTTGTAAACCATACTGAAGCGTATTTCGCTAAAAAAAACCCAAAAAAAACCCCACCCATTCAAGAAAGAAATATACGGAAAATATAAAATAGGGCTACGAATGACTGAGTTTCTGGTTGAAAACATTTTCGTCGAGTTTGGTGGTAAGATCTTCCAACAGACTATTGACATACCTATCATTCAACCTAAATGCGTCTCTTTGTTAGCTGACTTGTTTTTTGTTTTCATCCAATGATGAATTCAGCAAAGAGCTGATCAAAACAAGGCACAACGACTTTGCAAGGTCGTTTCATTTCACTTTCAGACATATTGATCACGTCTTGTCTTTTAAAAACAAGAAATTTATTGACTACGTCCATCAAAATTGGAAATCAATGACACGACTGACTCTTCTACGTTAGCCGCTTATCTGGATCTTGTCCTTACAACGAAACAACATGGACAGCTTTTCACCAAACTGTATTGATAAGCGTGATGATTTCAATTTCCCTATTAAGAGTTTTCCATTTCTTGATAGCAACATATCTGCATCCCCAACATATGGTTTTTACATGTCGCTATTGATTCGATATTCACGGACCTGTTTCTATTGTCACGGTTTTCGTGCAAGAAGTAAAGAGATAGACAAACCCGTAACACAGGGTTTCAAAATATGAAGGTTGATAAAGATTATGGGGAAATCTCACGGTCGCCAAAGTGATCTCATTAAGAAGTGTTCTAATTCTTTGAGCGATATGAAGCTGGACATGTTGGAGGCTCGTTAGATTTCCTGTTGTTGTTTCGTTGTACTATGCCTTGTTCTCATTTGAGAACATGACATTACTTGTTTGAATTGACCAATGTTTACATGGCGGGCATCGTCGATGAAGCTGAAGACGATTACTCTTCCGGAACACATGGTCTTATTCTCCTTTTTTTCTTTTGTTCCTATTCTGGCATAGTTATATTGAATTTGAGTTTGTATTATGATTATGTCTTCATGTTAGTAATTTCTGGTTGTTTAATGTATATGTGTATTTTTTATCTCTACTATGTCTATATTAACACTCTGGTAAAGGCCTTTATACTAGATCTACAACAGATTTGTGAACCACCATTCTTACACCAGACACTGATGGTTATATGGGTCAAATATTTCCTTTTCAAATCAATCAGATATTTACAGGTCTGCGTATCAAATTTTGAAACTTAAGAATATCAAAACACTACTTTTTCAATATATTTTACATTCATTAAAACCGACATGTTCCCATCACAAGACTTTTAGAGGTTCTTTTGGGCTGTAAATAGAAATCCGTTTAGATGTTTCAATTCATGTAACTGTTATCTCAACACCTTTACAAATAACGATAAACAAAGATATATAATAGAAATTATACTAGATTTACAGTCAAGAAATATAACGCGCATGCGTGAATACGCATACTGTGCTTCAAGTAATTAATTACTCAGCGGAATCGAAGATATCGATTTTTTAAACCAAAGGTACACAACTTCTGTTTTTCAAAGGTACTCGTTTAGACATCATCGGATATTTTTAATGATACCTCGTTGTTCGTGATAATTAATTTCAACGGATTAACTTCCAAAGCCAAATTCGTCCTTAAAAATCACATAAGTTATTGTTTTTGGAGAATTTCGACATATATCCGTCCAGGTTTGTTTAAATTACTCAGTTAATGTAAATTTGATATCTGAAAGAAGCAATTTAGGATTAATAAGATTTTTAATTGACCATAAAGTGGAAAGTCTACAATTATTCAACATGCATTGAATACATTCGGTCCATACAACAGAACTATCACATTTTTCGTTTACAATAGTCGATGTTTTCAATGTTTGATCTTTAGAATAAAGGAAGCTGATGACGTAATATGACCCTGATTAATGCGATGGCGTTATCCAATTAGGGTCTATTAAAGATTAAGGTCTCGTTCGGTGTTACGGTTGTTGGGTATAATGTTTAATTTAAATCATAAACAAAGTTGGCTGGCAAACTAAAAGCTGAAGGCAGTTTGAACTACGTAAATTTAACTGAAATAAACCAAGCATACGCCATTTGATGTCTGAGTATATGTACATCAGGGTAAGTACGCCGTCTATACATGAATATTTCATTGACACGTAGTTTTAGGACGATAAAACGAGTCTAGTAAGTTACAGAAATGGCAATGGCTGATATTAGTACTGGACTCTGACAAAAACAAATATTCGTTGGAGACTGGAATAGGTATAGCATATTATCACCGAGTAATTACGGCCGATGGATACAAGAGGCCCTTTATAGGAGAGAGAGAGAGAGAGAGAGAGAGAGAGAGAGAGAGAGAGAGAGAGAGAGAGAGAGAGAGAGAGAGAGAGAGAGAGAGAGAGAGAGAGAGAGAGAGAGAGAGAGAGAGAGAGAGCCACTGATAGTGGTGGTTGATCTAGATATCATATTACACGCACGTGCTTTGTTCTTTAATATTTTAATTTTTATATCACAACTAGTAAGGAAATTATGTGATGTTTCGATATAAAGTTATTATTTATAAAGTGTACGATATGGTAATGAATTAAAAAGACTTTTCGACCCTCGTATAAACAATGGTTCACTAAAGTGGAAATTAGTGTGACGAGATGGTATTGTAAGAAACGTTCCGAGATATACTTTATCGTCCTTTTTAAGGGAACAGAACGATATGGCATTTGCCGCTATCAATTATCGTATCATGTTGTGTCATCAATTATATTACTGGGAAGTTTAACATGACAGCCAAAAATATGACTTTTTAATTTGTTTGATAATAAAAATATAGCTGTAACATGTTGTATACAGACGTAAATTCTAGTAAACATCTTTCAATAAATCTTGTCATGTTCATTATTACATCTGTTTTTGTGATCAGCAATCTGACGGAATTAGTTTCCAGCGTGTCTTTGTGGTTCTCCGCAGACCATACGAGAACCATCGATTTTAGCTTAGCAACACATACGTCGATAAACTCATCTCGTTTTGCTATCTATTTACATATATTTTAACGAGGAAAAGACACGAAAATCTATTCGTTGTTTTGTTTGGTTTGAGATCTACCTGATTTTTCTCTTAGCGATATATTTTTACCTATTTTGTAGTACATTTTACCCACAAACTTAGGTATCTGACTTACATGATGGACTATCTACAACGTTGCTATCATATCAAAACCCTAAACTTGGTATTATTTTGTATATATATCTCTTTGATACAATATTTTGTATTATTTTGTATATCTATCTCTTTAATACAATATTTTGTATTATTTTGTATAAATATATCTCTTTGATACAATATTTTGTATTATTTTGTATATCTATCTCTTTGATACAATATTTTGTATTATTTTGTATATCTATCTCTTTGATACAATATTTTGTATTATTTTGTATAGATATATCTTTGATACAATATTTTGTATTATTTTTGTATATATATCTCTTTGATACAATATTTTGTGTAACACAATATCGGATCTTATTTTGTTACATTTGTATACATATTTCTTTTTAATACAATATTTTGTATTATTTTGTGTATATATCTCTTTGATACAATATTTTGTATTATTTTGTATATATATCTCTTTGTTACAATATTTTGTATTATTTTGTATGTATTTCTATTTGATATAGTTAATTAAACGACATGATATGTTTTACCTAGCTGCCTTGAAACTCATCTTCTGGATACAAAAACGCATTGTGAGATTGAGGCGGGTAGATATTGGTTTTTCTTCTTCGAGTTTTTATACTGGGTATAAAGATGATCGGGATGATCGGCTTTTACTCTAAATCTCTGACAACAAATTTGTAATCACTGACTTGGCGCACACTAATCCCACAGTTTGGTTATCCTGTACTTACGTAACTAATCTATCTGACGGTGATTTAGTTTTGTCATTTCTACCCCAATTGTCAAAATTGTAATGGACTCGTCCAAAGTAATTTGACACGCTAGACTATACAGCGGAGTTTTCCAGAATGCCCCACTTCCGTTGAGGGATCGAGTTACTCGGCACGTACGCTGTTGGTACGTAGGCATTCCTCGTACAACGTGGACAGAAAATCGGAGGAAAACGTAAGTTTCAAGAGACGATCAGCTGTTTTCCAGGTGAACATTGCGACCTACGGAGACTGTCACAGAGGCAGTGGAACGTGACGGATACACACGTGTATACATAGCAGGTTGTTGTTGTTTACTGCCGTTGGACGGTTTTGTGTGTATGTTGTTGCTGAGCCTGAGGTAAAGATGACGGCGTTTCTGGTTTGGTATGCTTGCGTGGCACTGATCACGATGGTCCGAGGGGAAATGTTCACTTCTTTAGCAGCCATGCAGACTGCCCTTTGGGCAGAAAGGGAAATCGCCACTACCATAAACGACTATGTTCAGGAAGAAGAAGCAAGGCTAGCTAAACTTAAACAGTAAGTATCGCACCCCGACTTCCCCATAGACAAATTTTAAAAATATTTTGTACCGTCTAAACCCATTCAAAGAAAACCAGAGCCTGAAGTTGTACCAGGTATGACCTTTTCATTTGATAGACTTGCTCAAGTCTCTTCTAAAACATGTATATAGAGTTTTAGGCCTAATCGGTTCACCATTATGCCATCTCTTTGATTCAGAGACTGCAAACATGTTTACTAAAGTCTCTGACAGTATTTGACTCGACAGGAAACAGGGATTTCATCATTCAGACTCCAAATGTTTTCTCGCATCTACAACAAATTTATATAACACTCGCATATTTGCCTGCAAGTACACATTGCCAGAATACTGACGTTAGTCTTTGAAACTATACTTGGACATGGGAGATGTCAGAGCGACGGAAAATCTGTCAATCAATCAAGCCTGGAAGAACATGGATACTTTATAAACGCAAGCATATTATTCATATCCTAATATGTATTTTCTAAACTGAAAAAGAAAGGAAAATGATATTTATATAGATTAACATAGAGAGATTTCTCTTTAAGATTATACAAGTTCATCAGAGATTTCTATGAAATTGTTCCAGACATGTCCAGGATTGTGTTTTCCAAATTTTGATGAGTCCTGTTACTTAGGGATATCAATGGATTCTCTAAATGTAGCAGAAACTCACAGGAAAAGAATGAATCCAGGACTCCAATATCTCAGTAACCGGAAATGACAAAATCAGCAACAGGATTATATTTTGTAGACTTTCTGAATACTGGTCTGAAAAGGACCCCTGTAGAAATCAGCTTAGTCTACTGTAACATGACAGGGTCCTTCCTGCCAAGCACACCCTGTAGGAATCAATTTAGTCCACTGTAACATGACAGGTCCTTCCTGCCAAGCACCCTCTGTAGGAATCTACTTAGTCCACTGTAACAGACAGGACAGGGTCCTCCCTGCCAAGCACACCCTGTAGGAATCAATTTAGTCCACTGTAACAGAACAGGGTCCTTCTTGCAAAGCACCCCCAGTAGAAATCGGCTTAGTCCACTGTAACAGGACATGGTCCTTCTTGCAAAGCACACCCTGTAGGAATCTATTTAGTCCACTGTAAGATGACAGGGTCCTTCCTGCCAAGCAACCCCATGTAGGAATCTACTTGGTCCACTGAAACAGGACAGGGTCCTTCTTGCTAAGCACACCCTGTAGGAATCAATTTAGTCCACTGTAACATGACAGTGTCCTTCCTGCCAAGCACACCCTGTAGAAATCGGCTTAGTCCACTGTAACAGGACAGGGTCCTTCCTGCCAAGCACACCCTGTAGAAATCGGCTTAGTCCACTGTAACAGGACAGGGTCCTGCCTGCCAAGCACACCCTTTAGAAATCGGCTTAGTCCACTGTAACAGACAGGACAGGGTCCTCCCTGCCAAGCACACCCTGTAGGAATCAATTTAGTCCACTGTAACATGACAGGATCCTTCCTGCCAAGCAACGCCTGTAGGAATCAATTTAGTCCACTGTAACAGGACAGGGTCCTTCTTGCCAACCACACCCCCTAGGGAATCAAATTTAATCCACTGTAACATGCCAAGGTCCTTCTTGCTAAGCACCCCCTGTAGAAATCGGCTTAGTCCACTGTAACATGACAGGGTCATTCCTGCCAAGCACCCCCTGTAGGAATCTACTTAGTCCACTGTAAAAGGACAGGGTCCTTCTTGCTAAGCACCACCTGTAGGAATCAATTTAGTCCACTGTAACATGACAGGGTCCTCCCTGCCAAGCACACCCTGTAGGAATCAATTTAGTCCACTGTAACATGACAGGTCCTTCCTGCCAAGCAACCCCTGTAGGAATCAATTTAGTCCACTGTAACATGACAGGGTCCTTCCTGCCAAGCACCCCCTGTAGGAATCAAATTTAATCCACTGTAACATGCCAAGGTCCTTCTTGCTAAGCACCCCCTGTAGAAATCGGCTTAGTCCACTGTAACATGACAGGGTCCTTCCTGCCAAGCACCCCCTGTAGGAATCTACTTAGTCCACTGTAACAGACAGGACAGGGTCCTCCCTGCCAAGCACACCCTGTAGGAATCAATTTAGTCCACTGTAACATGACAGGGTCCTTCCTGCCAAGCACCCCCTGTAGGAATCAATTTAGTCCACTGTAACATGACAGGGTCCTTCCTGCCAAGCACCCCCTGCAGGAATCAATTTAGTCCACTGTAACATGACAGGGTCCTTCCTGCCAAGCACCCCCTGTAGGAATCAATTTAGTCCACTGTAACATGACAAGGACCTTCCTGCCAAGCAACCCCTGTAGGAATCACTTTAGTCCACTGTAACAGGACAGGGAACATTCCTGCCAAGGACCAGCTGTAGCAATCAGCTTTTCCCACTGTAATATGTAATAGGACAGGTACTTTCCTAACAAGAACCCACTGTAGCATTCAACCAGGACAGACGGGACAGTCTTAATGTTGTTTAATGGAAATTGAAGGAAATATACACAGGGATTAAATCAAGCCAAATTTTGATACCAGAAAAGGAAAGTATTCCCCAAGTTTCCCTCCCTGAATATATAAACAAATCAAGAAAATTTCCCCAAAACAGAGCTAATAAGTATGTTTTTACCCAACATATTTTCAAATTATGCCATCATGAAAAAGAAGTATTGGTCAAACCTCAACATTGTCATATTTTATTCATGTAAATTTCATGGATGTCATATATGTAACCCTATCCCTCATTTGAATTCTGACCAAAAGGGCTATCTTAGATTTTTCTCTTTATCAAAATAGGCCAAAAAAATCCCCATTTTCACGAAGGGCCGTATTCCCCAAGTTCTAGATTAATCCACGATACACAACAAAGATAATGAGCAAATTGAAGTAATATTACTTCATTACAGGTGCTAGTTAGCAGTTCAGGTGGGGAACATGATTCAGTCAGTACAACATCTGACCAGCAAACTTTTGGTGAAGAACTGATGTTTGTGGTTTGACAATCTTTGTCTGCCGGGGGTGGTTTGTATTTCTCAGAAACATTATGAGATCACAAACAGTCCTGGTTGTGCCCTTTGTGGGCAAGAAATATATTAATATTGTTAAGGTTAGGATTGGATGTGCCTCCCACATTTGTTTCATTGAGATTGCCACCAGTTACTAGAAGGTGACCTGACCTCAAAATGACCCTGGCTGTTCATAGGGCAATAAATCTAGCAAACAAACAGGCAGAATTAATAGTTATTAAAATGATCTCTTGCATCTGAAAAATTATCATATGAGCATACATTATGTAACATCAACTGGGCTTGTTTGTTAAGAAATTGATAACCAAATGTACTAGATTTAGAGCAAATATGACTGGCTTTACAGTGTGCACATACATAATGCGTGCTTTCAGCAATAAAAACAGTCTGAACACTTACAAAATTGATATACTTGTGTATATATATTTAGGAACATGTGACGAAATAACCACAACTTTGTGACATGTCCAGCAATAGGGCGGTAGAAGATTTGTCAATATGTACAAATGTGCGATAACAAAATTATGTGTATTACAGGAAAGAGTTCATTTTCTGTCCCCTTTCGTAAATACATAACAATAATTAGCCAGGTCTGTTAAAGGCTTAGTCACCATGTCGTGTTACATACAACAATGTGGTAGTCTTGTTGAACTGGATAGAAACATGATACATGAAGATGTTAAATTCTGTTTATCCCCAGTTCCCCAGGGAATCTGTCTAGCCTACAAGTATATAGATTATAACCTAGGACAAGTAAGGTTAGTCACAATCCAGGGACAAGAATACACAGTAGTGTTTATTGTAAATTTATGTGTACAACTGGCAGCAAATACAATATACACCAGTTATGAATGAATGTAACAAACACACAACTTCCACAAAAACGTTAAGTCTCTACAGGGCCTGTTTAACTAATGAACTAAATTTGAATAGTTGTCTAACATTTCGAAAAGCTTCAGTATTGACCTATTACAGCTTCAGAAAGGATACAAGGCTTAATGGTCTGTCTGTAACAAGACTTCAACCGCCTGTCTGCTCAGCCGTCCAACACGGCCTAGTCCTGGGTTCAAACGCCTTGCTTCATCAAAAACTTGCATGAGTAAGTCTCCCTGAACATATCGAACTGAATGATTTATCCTTGACAAGCAAGCTACTATGGTTGGTGATCCACTCAGTTTTAGGAGTTGATGGAAGCTAGTTCAGTATCATAACTCAGCTGTTTACATCATCCTAATATTGTACATTAATATCATATGTGGCCATATAAATAGTACAATACTATTCCAGCCATGACACGGCCTGATAGAGCACTGTCATGGCTCCTGTTCATGCGTTGTCTGTTACCCTCTATGGATCACCAGTTGCGCCACGAAGTGAAGGAAAGAAAACGCAGATGACACACAATGTTGGGGAATACACGCGATCGTGACATAGATGCCGTATTGTCACACCATCATGCCATAAATCTGACATGGTATAGACAGTGTTCATGATTCGTTACTCTTTTTCTAATAACCCACACATTTGTGCCGTTAGCTTTCATTTTAACAACAAAATCTAAAACTTCTCATCAGACTGGTTCTGAACTTTCGGTATAGGATTCCAGTCAATTCCTTTCCATCAGCCAGAATATGTTACTTTGATATTAAGGTTGTGATATACACTCCCTACCATCCAGAATATGTTACTTTGATATTAAGGTTGTGCTATACACTCCCTACCATCCATCTTTGATATTAAGGTTGTGATATACACTCCCTACCATCCAGAATATGTTACTTTGATATTAAGGTTGTGATATACACTCCCTACCATCCAGAATATGTTACTTTGATATTAAGGTTGTGATATACACTCCCTACCATCCAGAATATGTTACTTTAACATTATTAAGGCTGTGATATACACTCCCTACCATCCAGAATATGTTACTTTGACGTTATTAAGGTTGTGATATACACTCCCTACCATCCAGA